TCAAATTATCGTTTGTGAGACCCTGATTTTGTTTTCCAATGGCTGTATACAATAAGACATTCCTAATAGCACTTGAAAGGGATTGACCTACTTAGCAAGTATCAGATAAGTCTCACTACAATCGTTCATACAGAATGTAATTTAAGTGTAAGTAAGTGACAATTGGTTATGCAATAGCACGATACTTAAGCATGTTATTTTTAAATGAAACATTCAAAAACTGTTTTTTCATGTTAAATTTTTTATATTTTATATGAAGGTGCAAATAAGAATAATTAACATCCCAACCATTCAAATTTTGACCCGCACCACCTCGGCGATCACTAGATATGCTTTATAATGCATTTCATTTTACGCACTAGCGGCTACTAGACCAAGCGGAAGTCCTATTAAGAATTTGTGTACCTCCTTATAAAAGAGCCTAGACTCTTTCTTAGAATATCGGTAACGTTCTTTGGAAACTGTAGGAGTTAGATGAAGATAAAACGGAAATACGCAGGCTTGTGTGTACTTGCTTGTTGCTGCTTTTTAAAAAAATTATTCAGTAAATATTCAAAATACTTTTTATATTCGTAGCTATGATATAATATAATTAATTTGAATTAGGTATAAATTAATAATAAATAAAAAAACATTTGGCTCCTGTGGTACCTACTCTAGAGAAAACACTTTGCCTTTATAGGAATGGCCTGTCGTATATGTGAATGAAACCGTCATATATTATGTATAATAAAGACATGCTGGAGTCGTGTGTCCTGCCCGCCTATTGTGTAACTTGAGATAAATAGAAGTATGTACGCTACAACTACTAGGTATAAGATATTGCTAGGTATCCTTTGTTTAATACAATATTTCATGAGTGCTGTGTGCAGATATAAAATAAACCTAAAACTAGTTTGTTTTATATCTGAATAAAAAATAATATTTCATAATCGTGTTACTTTATAATCAGCCTTTGTGTCTTAACTCGAATTAATTATCATTTCGTGGGGAACCGAACATAAGATCGCGGTTATCGGATTACACTGAATAAATCTTGCACTTGGTCAACTGAGCCTTGAATTGATAAAACTACATATAATACTTATGAAAATAATAATACTATTCTTTTGTATTATACACCTGTAACGGTTTTAAATATGTCTTTATACTTTACATATATACCATTAACTAAGCATTTCTATGGTTCCATCTCATAAACAAGAACTTTTTATGTCTGCTTTGTTTGCAGCAGACATAAAAAGTACAATAAATCTATTATTTTAATATATATTGTCTATAATAAAAAAAAAACTGGTTTTTTTTCTATTATACATACTTTTTTATTGTTTTACACTAATGTGTCATATATATTACCGCGAGCTGTGTTAGCCTACTCACTTAGCGTGCGATACTTGTACTCTAAACTAATACTTTCAGACCACAGCTTTGTAGCAATTAATTTGTCTTTCTCAATATGTTTGCCTGGTACATTATTTTGAAGTTGAAACTTATTTACTGGTGTTATTAATAAAAAAACACGTATTGATATGATGAAGTCGCTATCTCTTTTTGTAGTTAGTTAAAAGAATGTTTCATTTACGTAAAACTTACAAAGTATTTAATTTTTTTAAATTGATAACATATTGAAGGTTACGGTGTGTCACAGAGGTGTGGTCACTTAAGAATTGAATAAACGGTACAATTACATGACCATTTGGACCGGATGGTCGCTGTTTAACATCGCCTCACTGATTTCAACCAACCAACTATTGTTGATACCTGACTAAGGATTTTTATGCAACATACCTATGTGTATTTTCAACATTTGGCAGAATTACGGTCAAATCAAAAACTATACTAAATGTCAATATAATAATTTCATATTTATTGTAAGTAAATAAATTATGTAGCTGAAAAAAAATATACACACAAAATATAAATTATAATTATAGTTGGATAAATATATATTAGTTGCAAAAAATATACGTGCCGAAATACATAGCTACTGCTTTCGGGTTTTTTGAAGTCTATTAGAGTCAAGCTATGGTCGAAAGTCGGAAAAAATATGGCCAAAGATTAATAATTAAAGTATTCTGTGTTCATAACAATCTCTTAAATTCATTAAAATTTGTACAGTGACATCGTAAAATTACCACCAGATTAATAATTTTATTGATTATAGGAGATAGTAAAATAAACAATTATACATAATATGTAGATATTTAGTCCAAGACATTTACATTTATTTCCTAACAGGAAGTCAGTAAGTGAATTTAAGTAAAAAGTAATTACTTTCTATGTAAATTTTTAATTAATGAAGTCATAATTCAATGTCATTATTTTGAATAAGTAAATACTTAAATCAGTGAAGATAGAATATTTAACACGTTGTAAGCAGCTTTGTAGTTTCTAATGGCTTAAAATATATGGTAAGGATATTATTTGAATTTAGTTTGAATGAATTTTTAGTTGAATTTAGCTATAATAAATACTAGAGCATATTGGTATTGTCACGAACGTATCGCATATTACGATAACAATGCTTGATTTATTAAAGCGACATCTAGCGAATTATTCAAGTACTAGTATTAGTTGGTCACATGATCGCGTTTAACGTTAACAACGTATGTACTATGTAAAAATGGTATATACCATTTTGGACAGAGATGGCGGCTTAATATTTTTTTATCAATGTCAATCCTAACTAGATGTCGTGAGTAGTAGTATTAGACTCGTCATAGTAACAATGCTTCATTTAACAGAACGACATCTAGCGAATCATTTAAGTACTAGTATTGATTGAGTCACGTCATGATAGCGTTCAACGTTAACAATTTACTATGTAAAAGCTATAACTTTTTGGACAGAGATGGCGGTTTAATATTTTATCTCATAAAATCAATCAACTAGATGTCGTTACTTTTTAGAAAACTATAAAAAGTTAGAATTAAAAAAATCTGAAAAGACAATTCAGCTCAATTCCTTACTTTTTTAATATTCTTTTGGTTAAAAGCTTTTTTTTAACACATTAAGTGATTTTGACAATATCGAATGAAATATGTACTACGTATGTACATACGTAGTACATATTTCTAAAAAGTTTCTAAAATAACGAAGCGTGGTTATTCATAGATTAAGTAAGATTTTTGGTCACACAAAAATATTGCCAACAACTTTTTTACGGAAGACTTAATATAAACTTAAATAAATTTTTTTGAAACCAAGTAGTAATAATCTACGAACAAGAAACCTCAGGTTAAGTCATTATTGCTTATCCTTTTACAATAACGAGATTAACTCTATCTATTTTTATCTTCCCTTTATTTAAAATTGTACGAGTTTTATAGTTTATTACTATTGACATCTACAATAATGACTAGTTAAATTATTATATCTCAAGAACAAGTCGAAAATACATGACCTAGAAGAAATAGAATAGAATAGAACATTCCTATGACAGTGTTTTATCTATAACCAAGGGCATCGCATCTGCAAGACTGAAAAGATGCGGCAAGTTTAAAAATCGGTTCAGTAGTTTTCGAGCTTATCGATTACAAACAAAAGAAAATTTTCTTTATAATGTTAGTGTAGATGTCGATAACTATAATGTTGTCTACTCGACCTTAATATAAATCTAAAAAGCAAAATTATTCATACATGGTTGAAGGAGTTAGGAATATTTTTAACGTTCCAGTTCTATATTCAACAAATATATGTATAATTCATATGAGTAGAATTATTTAAGGAAGTGGTCCGTGATCGAAGCTTTTGCAATTTTCCATCAGTATAAGTTTAGCATTTAAGCGTGAAAGCGTAAAATTATGTCACTGTCGTGTTCATTTTATAGCATTAGAGAAAACGTAATAATTAGTCACGGTAGTAATATATATTTCAAAATACCTACATTAAATCATATTTATGTAATGTAGGTATTTTGAATCATATTATATTTATAAATAATTGATTTAATGAACTATCAAAATATTTGATTTAAAAAAATCATGTATCTGTTAGTTTCAGCATCGGCCCGTCTCAACAATATTTGATATTCAATATAAAAATATTACATAATAACTAAAAAATCTATAGACAAAAGTAACTGAAAGCTAATGCAATCCTATATCCTATCAAATAACGGTATGTCTATCGGCAAAAAGTAGTTTTCAGTAAAAACTACATGACGTCACCTCACGTCGCGAACGCGTGGTTTCCCCTCCCCCTCTCACTTCTATTCACAATACATCTACCAAATGAGCGCTTATGGCGCTTGTTCGAGATTTCATGGTGTAATTTTTCACATAACTTACAACACCGATTAGCCGCGCTTTGTGGTTTACGTAGCACAAAAAACCGTAAAAAAATTCGTTTACGTACCAAAGGTGTAAGCTGTAGATGCAAGTGAAGTTTATGATGTTATATTTTTTCCAGTAAGAGTTACGGTACGTATTATTTAATTTTAATGCATTTTAGACATCCGGGAGTCATACTTAACATTTAATATCGACTCTGAATCTTGCCCTTAGAACTTAATTTATCGTGGACATAAGAAATGAAGGAGATAATATGTGTGGTTTTATTATCCATAATTAAACCAATTAATTTGATATTTTCAAATCACAGCATCTGTACCAGTAAGTTCGCATGTCTTATACATTATCTTAAACGTGCACATCGGTATGCACCTTTCTTTCACCTCTACACTGAATATAGTAGCTAAGACTTATATAATGCCATAGTTCCTTAAAACAGTTACCATTAACTATAATTAATGTTAAAGCAATCGCTTTTTTTTATTCTTAAGCGCATTTTTCCTTTAAGAGTTGTCTCCACTCATATTTCAAGCGCTTCACGTTCCAGCCAGTATTTTACAGATTCTCGGTCCGTAAACAACCCCTCGCAATGTCAGATCAACCCTCAATACCAGTTGGTTGCCCCAACGTGACGTAAGCGGAATTTTTCGTGCGTGGTTTCCGTAATTTTCCTTTTTTTACTTATTAATATTAATTCCTGTTTCTAACATGGTTTCTAACTCTCGCGGTAACCATGTGTTGGTTTGGGAGCAGCCGGGCTTAGAAGATCAAAGGCCGAAGGTGTATAAAGGTATTATTGAATATTTTTGGTACTTTATATTGAGAGTAGGGTTAATAAGGGAATAACATTCATTTCATTAATCATTAAACGTATAATTTTTTACTGTACGTTAGTTTTTATACTTACTTGTTATCTCTATGTAACATTTACCTGCTTTAAATAATATTAAATTATTAAAGCTGAAGTCATTATCATTATTACGATATGGGCATTTGGCTGGAAAATCCTTAACTTAATTAGCGCGTTGACTATTATAGAGGATAATCCTACTTGACAATTTTGCGATTTATTTTTTGTCTGTCTTTTATAATCGAATTAAATACTGCTACAAAGCGTTCGACGCACGACTAAAGCTTTCGGCCAGTATTATTCGCTTATTGACGTCTTCGACTTTAACTTGTCATTCAGTTAATTTATAAAACTCCCTTAAAAATTAAACGATGATGATAAATAATACTGCGCTCACTTGACTTCGAGTTCTTCGCGTTCCAAACATGTAACCAAGCTACGCCAGCGATTTTTTTTAGATCATTATTATATTACACTTTTTTATTACAATATTTAAAAATTTGTGCATTGTTGGCCTAGTGTGCGACTCTCATCACTGAGGTTGTAGGTTCGATCCCCGGCTGTGCACCAATGGACTTTCTTTCTATGTGCGCATTTAACATTCGCTCGAACGGTGAAGGAAAACATCGTGAGGAAACCGACGTGTCTTAGACCCAAAAAGTCGACGGCGTGTGTCAGGCACTGGAGGCTGATCACCTACTTGCGTATTAAATTGAAAAATGATCATGAACCAGATTCAGAAATCTGAGGCCCAGACCTAAAGAGGTTGTAGCGCCACTGATTATTATTATTATTATTTAAAATTTTATAAAATCTACATAGTTAATAATTCCAATTTTTACAAACACTTTTCGTAATATATATAGCCCTCATAGCTGTACCATAGCATTTACGTTCCGCTCTTCTCATATATGTTCCATTATATCTATTTAATAAATCCCAATAAACGATTCTTCTTTAGCAACTCCTTCTCCTTATAATTACCCAAGTATCCATATTATTTTAACTGAATTTTAAGCCCTTAATAAATGACCTAGTGGTGCTCGTAATACAAATTAGCAAATATTCGTTATCTACTATCAGTATAACAATATTCCACTATCTTATCTAAGTATCTATATTTTCTGGTGTTTTGTACGGTAATCCTAATCTGGACCGCGCTGATTGACTTTTAGATGATTTAATTAAAGCATATCTTATCAAATATTAGGATAACGGAAGTTATGAAAACCAGACCACAGACTTGCGAAAGTCTGCGAAAGAATAAAATAAAAATAAAATTATATAGCCAGAGTTAATCATTATTTTTTAGAGCAGTGTTGGCCTAGTGGCTTCAGCGTGCGACTCTCATCCCTGAGGTCGCAGGTTCGATCCGTGGCTGTGCACCAATGGAAAGTCCATGTGCCCATTTAACATTCGCTCGAACGGTGAAGGAAAACATCGTGAGGAAACCGGCTTGCCTTAAACCCAAAAAGTCAACGGTGTGCGTCAGGCACAGGAGTCTGATCACCTACTTGCCTATTATAATAACTAATGATCATGTAAGAGATACAGAAATCTGAGGCCTAGACCTAAAAAAGTTGTAGCGCCACCATATTTTATTTCTATCCTATATAGACGACTATTTGCTTTTTACTTTATTATGGCAACTTTTTAAACAATAAAAAAATATTTTACTTGTATTACGCTACTCAGAGTGTGGCTTAGTCACTTCAACGTGAACACATCCCTGACGTCGTAGCTTCGAACCCCAGTATTACTCGCTCGTACGGTGAAGAAAAGCATCGTGATGTAACCAGCATGACTTACGAGTTTAGACTCAAAAAAGCTGACGGCGTGTGCCAGGCACAGAAAGAAGGCTGGTCACCTACTTGGCTCTTTAAAAAAAAAAACAAATGATCACGAAACAGATACAGGTCATGAACGTAATATCTGAGGCCCAGACGTTAAAAGTTGTAGCGTAACTGGTTTTTTTATTAGAGCGATATCAATCGTTTTTATAAGAGGCACGTAATGTTATGTTGGGTGATCACAAAAGTATGTAAGAAAAATATTTGTTCAGTGTCGTTTCTTCGAATTGGACTTACAAAGTAGTTCTTATCACGATTCAATACTTTATAAATAATTTATATATATTCTGAAGTCTATGTTTATTTTTGTTTAGGCTAAAATGCTCGAAGAAAAATAAAATATGAAGCGCGAAACTTTGGCGCCAACCATAAAGCTAGCAAATTCATCGGGGTTTCGGTCTCATAAAAGCGCTTTTTATTTAAATAAATTTCCAACAGAGATCCTATACTAATTGTATATATATAATAACCTACTTGGAATTTTTACAATACACATGTATCGAACGTTGTCTATACCTAGACAGTTAAATACTAGCTAAGTAGTTTAAACTAAACATAATTACAAACTGAGCTAAATCTTAGTAGTTAGCTTTAAGCTCTTTCTGAGTCTAAAAAGCGCTGATATGTTTAATTATTTTAAATTAGGCTTATGACTTTCCAAAAACAAAAAGGAGACTCATTTAGTCAACTATAAATCAATATTTAGAGATATTTAGGTAGTAATATTTAGTAGGTTTGCTATATGGAAACAACGATGTCTTTCCTTGGCGTGATATTTATTTTACGAATGTTGAAAAAAAAAGTAATTGTAGTAAGTCTTAAAGTAAATTGTCTCTGTCACCAGCCATATTACAGATTAACAATTTGACTTTAATTCATAGAGTATAATAATTTTAATATCTTGACATTATAATGTAAAGATTTGGACATGATTCATGAACAACTAATTTATGACGTTAATAAGCCTGATGCTCTAAAATTATTACGCCCGTGAAACATTTCCGTTTTTATCAGTAGATAAATAGATAATTACCACGCCTACATAGTAAAGAGTATGTGTAATAGTATTTACTGAGTTTATGGAAGCTATAGAAGGTGACGCTATCATTGATAAAACCATGTCAAAAGGATTTAAAAATGTTATCGTTTTCAAAGCAATTTTGAATTTCAAACAAATTCCCAGTTCGGTAAAATCATAAATTATTATTAGGAAGTAATTAGAAACCTCAAATTATAGTTGAGTATCAATTATCTCATGAACCATTCAGAAGATATATTTTTAACTGCCTTAGGGAGCGTTTAAGTATTACGTAACGAATTTTTGGAGGGGGGGGCTCCTTTTGTAAAACTTTACACCACATAATGGTAACATTTAGGTATTAAGAGTCACTTTGGTGGTCACGAAATGTTTTACTATTGGGTATTAAAAATTAATGTTTTAATATTGGGGTTTAATAATCTCCAAAAATTGCGTGACGTAATACTTGAACGCTCCCTTAGACAAAAACGAAGGAGGCAGCAATTTGAAGTGTTCTTTTTTATTCCTTCGTTATACGTGGCCAGCCTTTTTTAAACTATGAAGAAAGTTCGATTAGGAAAAAAATAAATATCGTAAACTAATAAATTGTATAGAAATCTTGATTTTCTATGAAGCATTACCTGGAAACATTTAATGATTGTGACGGTCAAGGCCATCAAGATAAAAGATTCATTGTGTTCGCTCACTCGGTGTGACGATTATTTTTTAGAAAATACCAAAAACTATATCCATTACATTTAATTGTACATACTCCAAGTTGATCTGAAATAATGACGGACGCACGTTAAAGAACTACTTATTTAAACACAGCTGCACCTTTCAGCTTTTATGATTATTTTTGTCTCTGCAGATCTGAAACAGTAATGGTTTCACCGGAGATCGGATTCACGACCTTATTTACTATAACGTTATTTTCGATACGCTACGTTCCATTGTGTAGTAAGGTCTACTACTCAATTTAATTCCAACAGTGAAAGAAACATTTAAATCTAATCAGATATCAGAATTAATTCGTCATAACACACCTGTATATTCATTTCAGAAATAGACGATACAAAATAATGCGTTTATTGGATCGCGCACATGTTTCAGATTTATCACGGGAACAATTTATATAATAGACGGGACCAAAACGTGATTGTATAATAATAGCCATCAAATCTGACCTTGTGTCAACAATGGTTTTTAATGTGTAAATTGATAAAAACGTGCAATGGCATTTGGCTAAAAGCGCCTATAATGGCGTGAAACTATTAACATATTAAATAACTATTTGTTTATTGTTAAATAGCACATTGGTATAATGTGCATGAAACTCTAAACTGTAGGTAAGTAATTTCGCTTGATGTTCTACGACGCTTTTATTAAAGCAACGCGCTATTGTAATCAATTTTAGTATAATTACATTTCAAATTGTGTAATTTTTCGGTGTTATTTTCTATCATTAAACCATACATCGTACGTTATTATTGTTTAAACAACATGTTACCGTGGCCTAGTTGATGTCGATCTTTAGCAACCTTGAAATGGGTTCGTTCCCAAAAAAAACAATATTATTTTGGGTTTGTAGACCCATAATATTTAATAATTGTGCCTCGCCAATGCCTCACTGAGGCGGAATTGGTGTGTTTACCTTTACATATTTGGTGTAAAAATAAAACCATGAACCCTTACTCTGTAACTTCCAATAGCGACAGTGATACCGAGCCCGACGTTTTTGTATGCTATTTCGATGTTGTTCTCGCAATATCCGTAGACGTCCCAAGTCCCAACCTTGGAATTGAGCCGTACAAAAACTCGTTATTGAGATCGGTTTCGCTGTTGGAAGTTACAGAGTAAGGGGGCTGATGTTAAATGAGTTCATCCAGGTGACTTCAACGTTGGCTGATGATCTATAGCCTAGTCGTTGTAATCATATTCCCCATAGCTTAGCTTTTAGTGTATTCTCATACATTTTCTTGAATAATCCTTGGCAATTATTGCTTAGTAATTTGCCAATTGCAGAAGTACGTCACAACAGAGATGTTGACTACTAGAGTAACGAGCAAAGGAAATAACCACTAGAAGTTTTGGTTATATATAGATTACATTGTAAGAAAAGTACCTATATAAAAAATCTAGTAGGTATCTATAGATACTTGGATAACAGATTATTCTGTAATGAGTTTCCGTATAAGAAAATCGCGAGACTTCGCTCGATATTAAAAACGAAATATTAAATATGTTGATACCTATTAGAAACTCAGCTTTGAAAGTTTCACCTAAAAGGTTGCAGCGCCGCTGGTTTATTAATATAAACTCCTATAGATACATAATTAACTCAAAAACGCTGATAATAATAATCACTATAAATAAAACCTAAGTTTAAATTTTCTGAATTCGTGTAAAAGGGTCAAAGAAGCCTCACAAACACCACGGAAGCGCTATAAATTCTTATACAAATATGTAAAAGCTGGTCACGATTTCGTCTGCATAAAAAAAGTCTATTTTCTATAAGTAACAATTATGTACAATCCTAACTAGTCGCTCATATGAAATTAAAGCTAAACATACAAACACGTCGTGTTTAACGTCACAGACTATAAATTGTGATCTATTTTTGGAACCGCTACGTATGTACAATCAGCAAAATCGTACACTTTAAAAATGATATCCATAATATTCAAAGTACAACTACTCTGTAAATCCCAATACTCGATTTTTGTTTGGCTTGGGAGTTAGCGATCCCGACTCCCAAGGTTAAAACATAGGTATATACATAAATAACTGTCAAAAGAAGAAAGAACATCGTCAGAATCATCAAAAATCCATCCAAAAAGTTGGGATCGCCATTGCTATTGGAAATTACAGATCACAGTCGCAATTTCGAGATCTGACAAACTTTTGCATGAAGTTGGTATTTTTGACAATGTGAATGGGATTTGAAATATCAGATAAACCGAAATCTTTTTACATTTGGTGTACACGTAAAAAAATGAGCCTCGCGGAAATTTGCCCCACAAAAGTGGGGGCACAAACTTAGAAAAAGGCATAAAATATTATTTCTGCTAGTCTGTTACTCTTGCCAACGAAGAAGGACTAACTAACTATAAGCTACTTCCTAAAATAAGAGCGTTTTCTGGTAGAACATGTTTGTTTACGTCACGCGACTATTTCATTGAACTGTCTGAATGGGTGTCTACGCGTTTTCGGTAATAGAATGATTCCTATAATTGTATCATTCTATCACGCAAAAGCTTCCTGTAATTAATAAAGAAGCTATCAGAACAAAATAAATAATAAATCTCCATACCTATAGAACTTTGATTTTAATAGGGTTGATTTCATCAACCTGTTATACCCTATAAACAACAAAACCATTTCATGTCTTTTTAGACCGTCAATCTTTAAGTGCATATCTACTTTGTACTAATTTACATTTCGCAATCATTACAAATCTCTTGAATTTGTGTTAAACAATTTTCATCTAAATGCTCTACAAATGATCTGAAAACTAAAACAAACCAGGCTTAGAAGCCAAATAAAGATAAGAGTTCTTTTTGTGTCGCAATTATTGAATATTATTGCTTAATCTCAAGTTAAATGTAAACATCAAAGTCTGTGACCGAGTTTTGCAATAGTTTTAATAGAAAATGAAAACTCAAAACTATATATTTATTTAGTGCTCCTACAGCTAGCTTAAATTACATATATTATTATATATAACAAAAAAACAATTATGTATACTACAAATACTTATCAAGATGATATTAAACCATATTTTTATTTCAATTATATTTATGGTTTGTACACAATCGTTTTTTTTTTTTAACTAGTGGGCCCCCCAGACGTTTTCCTTCTTGTTTTTTAAAGGGGTTTGGGTTTTAAAAAAGGGGGGAAAGTTCCGCCTGGGGGGGCTTTTCCGGGGGGGGTTTTTGGTTTCAAACCCATCCCCACCCCCCCCCAAAAAAAAAAAAAAAATAAACAAAAAAGGGCCGGTCGTTTAGGAAGTTAGTGACATACAAACTTAAGAAGAATTTTATAATATTGTATAATTTACTCTATACTAGACTATCTAATCATCATATAGATACATCAATTTATGAATAAATCTGAAAAAACCTAGTGTTATTACATTACGACGGATAAAATAACGGTATTATTAAAAGTCTTAAAAAGTATAATTATATTACAAATTCTTTTTATAATGCAAATGATATTAATTGAACAATACAGCGAGCATCTAAAATTTATTACGAATAAAACAACACAAGTTAGCAGAACTGAGTTCGTTTGTTTTTTATTTTCAAATATAAAGTGTAATTTTGATTATGTTGCTCAAGAGTTGATAGCAGGAATTTGATTAATTATGCAGGAATTGTAATTCAACAATACTAGCTAACATTTAAAGAGCTAGAAGCGCTGAATAGTCTGTAGACTGTAGAAAAAATATAAATGTAATTTTATCTTTTCTACAGTTCTTGGTCGAATTATGAATATGATATTGGTGTACACTGTACAGGATAGAATATCTTCAAATCTAAGATGTTCGAATTTTTGATATTCTCTCCACTATTATTATTTGCTTGATTAGAATAACTTAAAAATGTTATTTGATCCGTCTAAATGTATAACAGTTTTTTTTTTTAGATTTATTCTGAGTCCACGTCTCTATATGTGCTTTATTATTATTATTATAATAATAAGCATCGAGTAATTTGATTTTGTAATATTTTTGGGTCGAATTTTATCCTGCGATTATTTTCAATTGTTTTATTTTTCAGGTGGCTTGGGAACTCGTCACTGGGTGACGTTCATGCTGTTCTTAGGGATGGCTAACGCTTACGTCATGAGGACAAATATGTCGGTTGCTATCGTTGCTATGGTCAACCACACCGCACTGCCCGTTAGCCACGAAGCTATGGACACCGAGTGTGGTGACGTCAGCCCTAATTCCACGAAGGTAATTCGAAAAATGCGTTTTAACAACAGACATGCAATTCGTGGTAATTTTCAACAAAGCGATTTGTTGTATATTAATATAATACAGAGATACTTATATTTTAAGTATGTTTATAGAAAGGATGTTTGAAATTTCGAGAAAGCAACAGTTTCTACAAGAATTATCAAAATTAACCTAATTTTACTAATTATTTGTCAAAACTTCAATCTCATCAAAATATGTATATAAATTAATACAATAACATTTATGGTAATATTATTATTTATTTATTTAAATATATTTATTCACAAAAAAAGTTACACCTTAATTCAAACCATGCCCCGCAAAAAGGTTAAAAAATTTACATACTGAATTTAATCATAAAGTTATGTTAACTTACACTTTTTTGACCATTCATAGGCTACTTTTTCTTGCAGGAAGTCTTACAACAAGACGGCGAGTTTGTGTGGAGTTCTCCTCTCCAGGGCTACATCCTTTCTTCTTTCTTCTATGGCTACGTAATCACTCAGATACCCTTCGGTATTCTCTCAAAGAGGTGAGCTATTGTGATCTTCGACTTTCACGATAAATTAATTATTAAGAGAATCAAAAAAATCAAAATCAAAAAAATTCCGATATGAATACTATACGTATGATTAATGACAAATATGACGTGAATACACAAATGTTAGCATTAATGTTGGAAAAGTGTGATAGTTTCTAAATTTAGTGATGGCAAGGAAACTGCGGCCAAAACCGATCTAAAAATGTACTATTGCCGTCACGTGCCGTGAGTAGGAAATACGAAAAGTGCCTTTATGAAATACTTGTAGATATTAACATGTGTAGATCTGATATACTTTTATTTTACTCGGTAATTGACAAAAGAACAAGCTGATTGGACATTATGTAACGCTATACTTTTATGAATATTATGTGTTACACATAATAATTATCTCCAACTTCAATTGCATAGTTAAAAACTGACTAAGTCAGGCAAATGTAGAAATCTTAATATCAATAAGAAACCCAACAAAATTGAAATTGCAGGTACGGAGCTCGTCTCTTCCTCGGAGTAGGAATGTTGATTAACTCTGTGTTCGGTCTACTAGTGCCTGTTGCAGCCAAAGCTGGTTATCCTTGGCTTATTCTCGTGCGATTCATACAAGGACTGGGAGAGGTAAACTAATTATTATAACTGTACATATAATGTTAACAATCCCCGTCCAAAGGACCTTACTGATTCATAATACACTAGCTTACGGCAACTCTTAATTTGGTGTGATTATTTATTTATTTATACTTCGTTACCGCATACAAAATATGTATATAAAAAAAGCAGGCAACGGGCGGCCTTATTTCTATTGATATTAGCAGTACTCTGTACCGTTTAATAGCTTTTAATATCATCATAAAATAATTTAACATTAATATTTTGTTTTAGATAGTAATAATTTGTTTATCATCTTTTTTAACATTCAGCCTAATTATCTATAATAGCTTTTAAGTTTTAAAATAACGGAATTCCCAATCACACTTTCATTGTATGTAAAATATCCATAAACCCTTTCTTAGTAGAAGTGTACAACATAATATGTAGGTATCTTATTTGTGCGATACTAGGTATTATGCTGCAGTCAAACCGTAAATATAACTAGTAGTTAATACCTATTGTTTTGTCTTGTTTAAATAATAACTAATCTTTCTCTTTATCATATAGGTGCGATATGATAGAGAATTTGAATTTCGAACCCGTTTGTTTTGCTTTTCAGGGACCAATAGTGCCGTGCTCACACGCTATGTTAGCGAAGTGGATTCCACCAAACGAGAGAAGTCGGATGGGAGCAGCTGTATATGCCGGTGAGATATAGTTTTCAATACCATGATATTTATTCAGTTTTATCAACAAATATATGTTTATTGGTCTTTGATCGCACTTTAAAATATAATTCATCGTTATTTATGTACAATATAAAAATCTGATTAAAGCAAAAGGTTCTTTAAACGATTCAACACTTTTCTTGTCCTTTTTTTTATGTCGAATGCTTTTGGTCTATGAAAACGTTTCATTGTCTTTCCAGGAGCCCAATTCGGCACAGTTATCTCCATGCCTCTATCTGGTCTTCTCTCGGCCTACGGGTTCGCTGGAGGCTGGCCTTCCATATTCTACGTATTTGGTCTGATTGGGACTGTCTGGTGTATTGCCTTCCTGCTCTTCGTGTCCGAGGACCCTGAACAGTGTCCGAGGATCAAGGAAGCTGAGAAGAAATACATTTTGAACTCTTTGTGGGGCGCTGCTGGATCTAGTGTAAGTTTAACACTATTAATGAAATATAATATATATAATATTTGATTATAACGTATACCATTTAAAGCAAAAAAATTATGGAATTATGGCATTACTTTTTGCCGGTGTAGTTCTTGTTATTTGTACAATAATAATATAAGAAATAAAATCAAACAAGAATATTTTTTTCATTATTCGGATAGTAACAGAATGGCATATTTATGATATTTTTTTTAATTTTCAGTCACCACCAATCCCATGGAAGAAAATTCTGATGTCCATGCCCTTCTGGGCTATAATGTTGGCACACATGGGACAGAACTACGGCTATGAGACCTTGATGACAGAGCTGCCAACCTTTATGCGACAAGTTTTGCACTTCTCTATCAAAGATGTAAGTCTTATTACCTTGTCAACAATAAAAAATACGACGAGATCTTGAGCCAATATTAAAGTACAGTTATTTTATTTATCTTAATTTAATTATTTTTAATAAAAATACAAAAATGTATGTGATGGTGGAACACAAATTGGTCATAATTTCTCAGTCTACCGAAACGTCGACATCCATTTCAATAATTTGATTATACTTTACTAAAACCAATTAACGAATGAATCAAAGATAAAGCGAAGATAATAAACAAAATATAATAGTTGGTTTACAATGTTAAGGTGATACGTACAAAGTGCGATAGTAGGGAATTATTGGTATTGATAGTGACGAGGAGTATGATGGCTTACAAACATATTGTATGAAGGCCCAAATAAAAAATAAGGTACCCCAATCACACGAATTGGCAATTAATCAAGTGACTGTCACATGTTCAAGTGGGGTCAATGGGGCTAACAATCTTATGAATCATTTCGCGCCTTCTAATTGCTACTCGCGTTAAACGGTATGTTATGCTATAAATTGTGTGGTGATTTTTTTAACTCAATTACAGAAAAAAGTTTTTCTACTTTCGGTTTAAGTATAGATAATACATGAATTCACATCGAATCGAAATGTTTATACATTATACATTTCAATTGATTTCCGTATCCTCTTAGTGATTTCGATTCAATAAATTTTGTAATAATTGATAAATAAATATTATTTCTGTCCTGTTCCATACTGTACGTTATTTTACAGTATTTTTCATAATGTTTCAGAACGGTTTCGTATCAGCTTTGCCCTACCTATGCATGTGGCTTTTCTCAATGTTCATCTCCGTGGTGGCTGACTGGATGTTGTCCAGCGGACGATTCAACCACACGCAAGTCAGGAAGATTATTAACAGTATTGGTAAGTGCATTATTAACATTTGCTATTAACAAAATTCGAAAATATTCTTGATACGAGTGCTTCTTCTATTTTCTTGTATTTTATAACTGAAACTTTAATCGTTACGATTCCAGACTGAGTACATAATTCCTAGGTTAAACACTGAATACTATTATACTATAAAATTCTTACCATACATAAACAATTAAACACGTTTAAGATTTACCATCTAAATCTACTACAAAAAATTTAAAATAGTATCACACTGTAACGCACCAAATATTTTAATTCTTAAACGATTTTTTATTTGATTTTGTTTTTTTTTATATTGGCCTGTGTACCGTTCGTGGTAAGTGGTTAAGGGCGTATATTTTATTTAAGCGTCGGTGGTGTGTTATTATGAGTCGCTGCATCATTCTTACGATGTACTAAGTAATATACGATTTTAGGTGAATACGGTCCAGCAATAGGTCTATTCATTGCTGCAAACACGGGCTGCAACCCATCTGCGACCGTCGCTATTCTCGCCGTTGGTGTTGGGCTCAACGGTGGTATCTACTCAGGATTCAAGGTGAGAACTTTTAATTATCAGATGGCAAGAATCAATTCTTAAAATTATACTTGAAAGTGACAGTGAAAGAATATGAAATGATGATATAGAAATGATTATTTAACTTACTAGTTGACTCGACAGTGTGTCCTGTGTTTAATATTATGAATATTAAATTTGGATTGATATTATAATTCATATAACATTATATTATTCAAAAATAGTGATCTGTGTTAAACGATACGTGCAGCGTACATTCTGTCAATAGCTGAGAGTTTAAAAAAAACTGACAATTATTTAAAATTTATATTGTCGTTAAGTTTTCTTCTATGTTCCGCTGAACTTTATTATGTCACTGTAAGACTTGCTGTTTCGTACCTCACATTTTCCAATTGAAATCTAGCAAACAAAAAAAGAGTAAATTCCTATTTGTTTTCCAGGTGAACCATTTGGACATATCGCCTCGTTTCGCGGGTATTCTGATGGCATTTACAAACTGCTTGGCCAACCTAACGGGATTGCTTGCACCCATCATCGCTGGATATATCATTGACGGAAACGTAAGACCTTTAAATACTTTCATTAGAATATTTATGTGTGAAAATAATAGACCGGATTTATATATAATAATCTAACATTCTAAATATGAATCAATCAATCATGAAAAAAATTAGTAAGCATTGTGGTTAGAAAAAAAATTAGTATCATCACCAGAAACAAAAAACCAAGAGCACAGTCTGGAAAAAAGAACGCCGAAAGGCCCGAAACACATTGTCCTTTCTATAAGTACAAGCATATATATAGCAAAATCAACCTTACGCGAATGTTTTAAGTTGTTATTACAACGCAGTGTACTAAAGCAAAAAATTTTACGACCGACCGTGGTCGGTAGGACAAGGTATTGAGTGGAGTCGAACATGACTTTTTTCATTATACATTAATATTAGTATAAGAGTTTGTAAATTGTGTTAAACACAAAATAACTTTATTTGTGCATAAATATGTTTTTGGGTAACATATGGGTAATCAAAAAAAATGGGCGGTACTTATGACGCGCATAAGAAGTTATACTTCTTTGGCTTCTTTATTGTTTTAAATATTAAATAATTAATAATAAATATTTAGCGTAATAATTTAACAATATTTAATAAGAATTATTCAATTATTCATTAATATAATAATAATTATGATTATTATTTTATTATATTATTAATTCAATTTAATAACAGGAGTTTCATAACCTAACTAATAAGAACAAAAGGCTTTGAGAAAAAGCATTGCTAAACCTTTGAAAAAAAATTAAAACCTTTTATTTGTTTAAATGGACTACAAATGTCATTATGGCATTCAAAATTCTTGGCAAGCTGCTAAGTCACGCATATTCTATTTCTTTTAGATTGTCTTATTCCCATCTCGCTCGCGCACGCTCGGCGCCCATACTGATATTTTTGTGTCACGGTGCGCGCGCACGAAAATTTCACTCTTATAAATTTTTCATAACGCGCCAAAGAAGTATAACTTCAAAAACAAAAATAACGAAAATTGTTTATTCAAATATTTGGTTCAAAACGAAATGAGAATGGTATATTTGCAAAAACAAACACTTTTAAAGGACTTAAAGACATAAATTATTTATAAAAAACACAAAAAAAAAACGACCTACTTATTAGAACAGGGCATTTAAATGCGACAAAATAAAAAGACGAGCGTCTAACATTGAACAAGAGCCATGAAGTTGGCCGTAAAAAGTGTGCGTGAATGAAGTTTTGGAAAAAAAGAAAAACACACATTGCTTGTATAATCAGTCATAAAAACAACAAAAACAACAATAAAGTTTTTACTTACCGAAAATATGATATCCGAACCCACCAGCCCTTGACGTAATATTTTTACAATTTCCAAAACACTTTGACATTTTTAAACAAAGGACGCGAGACATTTGAATGAGCGCACAATTTGAATCACTCATTTTTTGGGGAGTTTTTTGGACGTTGGTGGATCTTGGGTTTTTTGTATATATCATCACCAATTTAATAGATCACATTTGACATTAGTTCTAGCTTCATAAGTTCACTGACGCAATATTGTAACGACGTTCACTCTTTAGAACATAAATTGTTTATTAATGAAAGTAAATCTCAAATTCACCTTCAAGTTTCATTATTACAGGAGTATTTTTAAGCAATTGTAACTTTAAAAATAAGTAATATTTTTTAGCCGCAGTTACAAGGTGAAGTTATTGACTTTTTAAATGAGGTGTCAAATATGATATATTACTTATATTGTCCCTACTATATCCGTAATCCGCATAACTAATTTTTTTTTCCTTTTTTAGCCATCACAAGCCCAATGGAGAATAGTATTCTACATCGCCGGCGGTGTTTATATATTCTGTGCAACATTCTACAACCTATTCAGCTCTGGACGGCGGCAGGACTGGGACAATCCTGCCGAAGATGACGCAAACGCGAAAAAAGCTGCAGAAAAGAAAGCAAGGAAATCAGAAAGGAAAAACGCGAGTTACGAAAACACAGCTGAGACCGCGCAGTAGAAAAGTTCGAAACGCTCGGCGAACGCAACTGGTAAATGATCATTTTTTGACAGCTCTTAGTCGATTGTCAATTTATTGACGGCAAAATCCTATACTTTACACACAATTCATAAAACAAACCCGATATGTTCGCCTCGAACTGAAATGATACGAGTTACAAAGATGCTTTTTATGAGACTGTAGGAATATTTTTACTAATTTAGTACAATATGAAATTACTTTACAAATTTGACACTGATTTTAAAAATAAAAAAATGCTTATGGTAATTAAATTATATTGTGATTTTTTTTAAATTCACCTACTTTACTTGTATTTATGGTTTATGTTGCATACAGTCAGTGTTGTAAACAACAAGAAGACGCACATCAATGAGGCTGTGATATTATCTTGTGTAGTCCTTTGAGCTCGTATCATCTTGTTAAATATTTATTAATAAAATTTTAGTTTATTAACTACCATAGAAGTATTGTATAGCTTGAGTGAAAGATATTTATGATCGTCATATGGTGAATGTGATGCATTCGTTTGGTGAATTTCGGGAAAATTTGGAGTCTTGTCTTTTTGCATTATAACAGTTTTCTACAATACTCACGACAAATCCTTAATCCACAGTATCATATTTTGAATATTCTAAATATTTTTCAGTGCGCCGTGTTATATTAAAAATAAAATATATTTTTAAAATACAGAATAATTATATCTAAATGTAATAATGACAAACAAAATTTCCCATTTTTATCAAACTTGTATTCTATAAGTATTTATATTGTGACGATATAAGGGTCCAAATGTTTGTATAAATGTTACCGTCCAAGCCAGTGATTTCTCACAATCCTCGCAATAAACTATTCATAAACAAAGTGCATTTCACGAAATGGCAAGCTAAGCTTAACAATAATAGACGACACCATCTGCGGATGTATACATTCATCAGCAACATGTTTTGTTGGTTTGTAATTTGTATCGGTCAAATTCTGGCCAGGAATGGAGTAATGTGAAGTGCACTGGAGTTAAGAAAGTATTATTTTGTGTATGCAAATTAATTGCAGCATCTCGAATAACAGAAAACCTAAACAAAACCAAATCTAAAGAATGTTTTATTCATTTTCACGTCTGAATTATAAGTACGTGTCGCAATTTTGGTTTTCGGCAAATGAAATATTAATAACATTATTAAGTTTATGTTTGTGCCAATAATGAATTTGAATTTATTAAAATGTTATGCGAATTATATAAGTAAATGATGCACAGCTAAGCAATTATTGTAAGACAAATTATAATTTTAGTTTTATGTAACTTGCGACGTTATGCGTTGCATGCTCGGAGCTGATGTGATCATTTTAGAATATTTGAGCTAAAGTAGCTTGAAGTGTTTTACCATAGACAAGATGTTTTGTATTTATATTATTGTAGGCTTAAATGTAGGACGATATTGAATTCAGCTTTTAAAACCAATGGTATGAAACATACCATTATTCCAATGTGAATTAAAAATTATTTTAAATATACATATTATATAATAATATAGAGCCTCGTTACATCGTTTCTAAATATCGGTTGAGTTTGTAATATTAACGTCTGGCCAATAAATACTGTCCATTTAAATACGCTTAGTGAATATTAATTAAAATAAATTTTATACCATCAAACTTTTACAGCTTTTGAGAAATAAATCGAGGTTAATATTTTCATGTTTTATTTACCCTTAAAGTACGAAAATCCTTTGTTATGAAACTCAATTTTAAAAAAAACAATCATAATTATTAACTTATAACTTTACTACAAAGTTGTAAACTAAAAGCACCTGTTCCACTGCGGCACGGTTGTCCTAACATAAGACAGCTAGACGCTGAGCGCAAATTATCTACTTTAGCATTTAGAACTGCCTCCTTCAAAAATATAAGTGATGATTCAAATGACATTTGCTGTAGGGGCGATGATGATGCCTCCATACCTTTACGACTCATGGGCTCAAAGATTCCATTGTAAGTCATATAATCCGCTATCAGTGACAAATGTCGCGGGTCAACTTCAATGCCATATACATTAAATACGTTTTGGATTTCTTTAATTATAACTTTATTTGCTGCCTCTATTCCGTATGTATTGGCAATTGCATGAATGTCATTACTGTAGAGTTTATTCAAATCTAACAAATCATTGTATTTGAACATTTGCACGATATTAATTCCTTCAGTCTTTAAAAATAAAACTCCTTTTTCAGTATTAGTAATTGCTCGCTTAATGTTCTTGATTTCGTAAATAACCGATTTTTTAGCAGCTTCACGCAATGCTTGTGTAAGATCAATTCGAAGGAAGGATATAGGAAAGAGAACAGTTAGTTCACACCATTGGTGGTTTTTGGTGTCGAATATATAATTGGTTGCATGACTAATTCGCTCCACGACATCAGCCATTGCTTTGCTGTCCGCAACAGAGACGCTTTCTGTATCATCAAGTTCTTTAACACTTTCGTCGTCATTTTCAACTTCTTCATCAGATTTCTCCTCTTCATCTGATTCTGGATCTTCATATTCTTGTTCTTCAGCACGCTTATTTCGAAGCTTTACCTGAAAAATTTAAAGAAATATTTTTAATATTACACGCTAAATACATCCTCAGAAGTGAATGAGATTTCAGAAAATAAAAATTTCTAATCCAGTTAACTAAGGTAATGTCAAAGCAATTTTTCTCTAAGAAGATCTAGAATAAAATAATGCTGTTTAATATATGGGTCTAAGACTTATAAAAAACTTGACAAACATTGAACATTAAAAAAAATGATGTAATATAGTATAGGATAAGAGTACTTTTTGCAACATTTGATTACAATTTAATAATTCTTTTACAGATATAATCATACCTCTGTATTATCATCATCATCATTTGGGCCCTCTTCATCTGAACTGTCATCAATATTAACAGGCTTCTTTACTGGTTCATCCTGAGGGTCATCATCTTCATCATCACTCGAAGCCTTCTTTTTTTTCTTTTTTTCAGTAGACCAAGCAATTCCACTATTACCCTTGGCTTGTTTACGGATAATTGTAAACATTTCTGTGAAAAATTTTTTTTGCATGTGCTTTATTATCTGCGAAGGTTTCACCGAGTACTGAGTTTTATATTGATTATATGGAAGGAAGAAAAATCTCATAATTGTCTTCAATTTCCTGTCAGGCTGCGTAACGATTTCGCATTCTATATCTATTTTCTCTAGTACATCGGATACAGTAACGCGGTTCATTTTCTTTCGTAGTTTTTCTGCTTTTTGGGTCAAGCCTGATATATTGCCGTAGAATGGTATATCCATATTAGGAGTTTTAACATTTACCGAAGCTGTCATAAGAATTTCTCTGAGACGCGGAATACCCAGTGTTACGTTCATGTCTCCTCTACCGGCAAAATGGAAAGTATTCAAAGTCATCTGCGTTGAAGGTTCTCCAATAGATTGAGCAGCTAATATGCCAACAGGTTCTCCTGGTGCTGCCATAGATGCTAGATATTTTGCATTCATAACTTCGCCGAATTTATCATTGTCAGTGTACTCGTTGAATATGTTTTTATTGCGATTTTTTAAGTAGTTTTGAATAAGACCATCTAATTGTTCATTTATAACACCAAATTTATATTCTGGAGACATTTTACTTGGGATTGGGTCTGGACAACGTTTTCTGGTGTACTGTGCCTTCTCATCTTCATCTAATGATCTCCACATAGTTTCTAATTCCCAATAATAGGGGTCACGTGTTCGGTCAGTCGGCATTTCGTCCAGTTTGATATCTTTCTTGGTCTGAATAGAAAAAAGTGCAAACCCGTTTGATTTTTCTTTATCTGTAGGATTCCCATGTCTTTTCTTCCACTTTTTTAGAGATTTTTGAGCTTTGGCTACTACTTTAATGTCATCATCTTCCTTAAGTTTTTTAATAACTGATTTCCCAACTACTGCATTGGAATTTATGTCAAGGAATGGTAATTGGCTGTGTTTTAAATATTGGCATTTTAATACATCTAGTCCATCTTCACCAAACGCAAATTGTATCACACTTCCATCAGCGTCACGCACGGTATGATCATACGCAACACTCAAACCCTCTAAATGTTTTATAAGGCACCTTTGTAAATAGCCTGAACGACTAGTTTTCACAGCTGTGTCAATAAGACCTTCACGTCCAGCCATACAGTGGAAAAAGAATTCTTGAGGTTGAATGCCTGTCATAAAGCGACCATCTATAAATCCTCCCGCTCTTGGTGAAACTTCATAAGGAGGAAAACTGGGCAAAGATCTACCAGATATCATCAATGGGGGCCTTTTACCTTCCAACTCAATTTGCCCAAGCAAGCAAGAAATCTGCATAGTATTAACTGTGGAACCTTTGGCACCAGACTGTACCATCAATTGAAGATTATTTGATGGAAATTTTTCTAATAAACCCTGAGATAAGCAAACAGTGTTAATATTATTAGTGTATGAATCAAGCATATTCTTGTATTGTCTATCAAGATTAGCACGAAATTTAGGATCTTTAGCCATTAATTCTCCAATAGTTTCTTTAAGTACATTGTCATCAACATCTGCTGGCAGATCAGTGGCTTTTACTGCAGCAACTTTACCAATCTGCCTTACGAGTTGCACTATTTCATCTCTCTTTTTATTAGCTTCTTCAACAACCAAAATATCTTTGACACCCAAAGTAAACCCAATCCACTGAAGGTAGAATGTAAAAACTTTTGAGAAGGAACTGAGTAATGCTGTTGAGGAATCACCACCATATAATTCATACATACAGTGAACTAAACCATATGGAGTTGCCCCATAATGAGTTTTATCTAAAACACCACATAAAAGTTCTCCTTTTCGAATAATTACTTGTGCCTCTGACAAATCATTGATTTCAAGTGGTGTACCTCCTGCAACCCAAGTCCTAGCTGGTACCTTTTGCCAAGCCTTATCACCAATTTTTGCTTTTCCTAATAATGATAAATATGGTTTACCCTTTGGTATGCTATTTATTATTATTGTCGAAAGAACCTGTTTCCCTGACCATAATAATACTGGTTTTAAGATGGTTGGAGGCAGTAGTTTTATTTGACCCCTATGGCTAGATAAAGCTTGAAACACTAATTGTTGATAATCTGCCTTAGAAAAAAATGTGCCACGTAAAGACATGCGCACCCCAGAAATAACATGATCTTGAATCAAACCACTTAGTGGTGTACCATCTTTCGGTACTAAATATTGCTTTCGGACTGACATAATATTATATGCTTCACTCCTTGCAATTTCATTTTGTGGAAAATGTGCATTCATTTCATCACCATCGAAATCAGCATTGTAGGATTTACAATTAGCATAATGTAATCGAATAGTCTTTTCTCCTTTTAGTATTCTAGCCCTATGTGCCATCATACTAGGTTTATGTAGAGACGGTTGACGGTTCAATATTAATACATCACCATTGATTAAATGCCTGTGAACTATCTTCAGGTCACTTTTCTTATATTCTTCTGGAGTAAGTAACCGCTTAGCAAGACTTTTCCTTTTATTTATACAATCTGGTGGGATTCGTATTGTCCTGCCATTTCTGATCTCTATTTTTTCAGCACCTGGATGTACATTAGGACCATTAATTACCATTTTTCTCAACTCATGAACATTCCATTCAGTAACTGGTACTGGATAAGTTAATTTTGTAGCAAAAGCATCAGGAATACCAATTTCATCTATATCTAAGTTAGGATCAGGAGTAATGACAGAGCGAGCTGCAAAATTTACTCTTTTACCCATCATATGCATTCTAATGACCCCCTGTTTTTTTTCTAAAACCTGCTTTAATCCTTGAGACACAACCCCTGCACCTTCACAATTTAGTATTTCATTTACATTTCTCTGAAGCTCTTGCCAACAGGTGTGTAATTTCTCAGCTGGAGATGCCCCAGGTGAAGATTCATAAGCCTGTCTTAACTCTGTATTCAATTGACCAATAGTTTTGCTTTGATCTGTTGATTTCATAATTTGAAGGATAACTCGAGCTGCAAGGGACCTTTTCAAAATAGCTTGATATACTTTGCTTTGGGGGTTTTCCATAATTTCACCCCGTAATACATTGCAAGGTCTCACATTAATTGGCAAGACTGGTAAAACTTTCATGAAAAATATATCAGTAATTGGTTTTACTTTTGAATATTTTAATATAGGTAGACAGTACATCAAAACATCTTCATTATTTTCTGCTATTGAAGCACAAATTTGTTGCAATTCATCTGGCATCATTATTTTTATACTGCCACCTTTAGTGCCACTTTCTGCACTTGTATTATACATTATTTTATTATCTGAAGTTGTAACTTTGATTAATCGGTTTCTACAGAAAATACAAGTTTTTAAAGTATTTATTGCTTTGAAATAATGATTGATTACTTTACCTCTTAGTTTATCAATGTTCTTATTTTGAAATATCTTTGTTACTGGATCTGTCTTTTTAAGCAGTTTCTGATATTTTCGAATTGTTTTGTGTGGTTTATCTGGAGAGGCAGACTTATCTTTCATATCAATCAAAAAATTTTCAAGATCCAAAGCAGCTGTAACATGTCCAGCATCCAGAAGATCTAATTGTAACTTAAGAATAAATCTCAGTTTATCATCTAGCTGAATTTTGTAGCATTTCAAGCAAGAAGTACGGAATAAGATGTACATATTTTTAATATAAAGTGGATTAGCTACTACCAAAGGTAGCTCAATATGTCCAAAATGGCCAGGACAGTTTAACAAAATGTTTCCACAAGTAGCACATTCATCATTTCTATCTCTTATTGGTCCCATCAAAGGGTCATAGAGACCTCCTCGTGTGGCATTGCCTAAGGAATCAAAAGACTGAGAGTTGGTTATTTTTACAACACTGAGTTGTTTAACATCCTCATCAGAGAATGTAAGAAATTGAACAGATTCAGGGTCAACCGACACTAGTCCCTTTAAGGCCGAAGATAAATTTATATCCACGTTCATTTTGAACCCTGAAAATAGATTTAAATTTAATACCGAAATAAAATAATGTAACTCATATACATAACCTTATTTAAATAATTATTATAAACTCACCTATTTCTTGAAACTCTTAATTTAGAAAATGTAGTATTACGTGCCTGAAATAAAACTTTGTTTTTCTATCTAATATCATAATATGTGTATAACTTTACATGTCTGGGACACAGCAAGTCCATATAATTATAACACACGCCGTACACGTTACAATACAACATGCACCCAAAATCCAAATACCAAAATCCAATTATCATAAGACATAAATAAAATAAATACTTTAAAAAGTGCCATCAAGTATCAACTGTCAAAGTGCCAACTGTCAACTAAACATTGTTGATCATAATATGGATCTTTTAATTTAAGTTTAAAAAAAAATAGAACAAGCAAGAATCTATTTGACCAATGAAGCATTGTTTTATTCATCAAATATTATTCTTTAAACAAAATTGATTATAAAAGGATTTGATACAATTAAATATGTTTGAACATTCACTGTGGGAACATTGCATTAAATTAAATAAATATTATTGGGTTAACTTAAGTGCAATTGAAGTAACATTAACCAAGGAAATCTAATGTTTTAATTCAAATCCAGTATCATATCTTCATTTGTGTAAAAATTTTAACAAAAAAAGTGCTATTCCTCAATTTTGAGGTTTTTGGTGTAGTAAAATAACACCAATAATCATTTATTTGTGATAAAGCAAGACACGTGACTGCATTTGAATGAACTTTATTGAATTTTAATACTAGAAATTTTCCTAGAAAATAATGTTGCCATAAACAATCTCATAATGACACTCAAGTCTCAACAGTCACTAAAACCTTTTAAATGTACCTAATCGGTAATAATAGTCTTTCTAGTCTGTGCGGTAAGGTATAAAACATGGCGTAAAACAAAAAATAAAAAGATTGAGATTTATGAGATATGGCAATGTCAAGTGGCAGCCGTCAAATCAAAGTACGAGATCTGTCAACCGCTGCTGAGGTTTGTGATTTTCTTCTTGATATTTGTTATTTTTGTGAAAATGTCGAAAAAGCCATTTCGATCTCAAGCGAGAAATATTGTTTTCAATTTCAATTTATTTATCTTTAATGACATATTTTCCTATCCTAAGAACCCGATATATAACAACATTCTTAATATAAATTACTAATATACTTTATGTTCATTATAACTAAAGACGTAAATAAAAATTAAACAGTATCAACTATCAAGATCATTTGATCCAGTTCTCCCAGTATTGCCCACAACAAATTTATTTGCCATGAGATTCCGGTAGAAGTATAATACCGGTTTTTTTCAATTTAACTTTAATAATGATAGCAACTTTTTCTACAAAATCCTATCGAGTCAACATGGCGGCGCAAGATGAAGTTGACGTCTGTGAAAGTTGGGAGGATATGGACGAAATTGGCGTAAGTTTATAGTGAAAGTTTATATTTTACTCTTATAATTTATCTACTAAAGTCTATATCTATATGATGAACACTTTGTTTTAGTTAGACCAGAAGATAAAACTTATGTCCAGCCTCCCTTCAGCAACAACATTAAAATCTTGCAAGGTTACAAACGTAATAGTTGAGGATAGCGCGTGTATTGGGTCTCAGTGCATAATGCCAGAACCAGCGATACGTATATTGAAGAGGCCTTCGTCAACTGGCAATGGTCAGCTAAATGGAGAAAATCGCGCCAGGCCTGTAAAAACCTTGGAACAAAGACAAAAGGAGTATGAACAGGCTAGGCTAAGAATACTAGGGGAAGCCAGAAGCCCAGAAGACGTCATCGACGATAAGTATGCATCAATTATGAAGTACAAACATAATTTTGTTTCCCTAAGCTACCTAGACAAGAAAATCCCAAAAAGAAAATAAGAAAAGTTACACAGTTTTAAAGTTTATACCCTTACAACCTTAAAAATGTCAAAGTTTAACATGATACTTCATAAAGCATTTAATAATTCCAGCCTATCCCGCCTACAAGACAAATTACAAGCAAATAACTTAAACGAAAGTAAAGCAAAGAACTGTCAAAATGAAACCAAAGTGAAGGAAAGAAAGGTGCTAGCAAGAATACCTGGTGCTTCAGGTATATTTCCATCTCCTCCACCACCTGGTGTCTTGGTGATACGTACACCTAGGGGTCCTGATGGAACCAAAGGCTTTGTACGAAGGTAGCATATAATTACTACTGTAATTTTTATATAGTGACTGAATTGTTGTGCCCAATATTTTACAATTTCTTCAAATCTTTTTAAAATTTAATTCATATTTATTACTTATGTTTATTATATTAGGCTATAACTCCCATAAGTCTAAGACATTATATTTTGACATAAGGGAGTCATAGTTCATGCTAAATCTAGACTGTGAATCTTAATGAGGGATGCCCTATGCAAAATAAATATTAAATTAATTGAATGGCTTCAGATATGGAAGGACTAATTTAAATCTGTATGACTTTATGAAGTGCGTTTGGACAGGTTTCATTAACTTCAATATTATAGAAATAAATTATTAATATTTTCTCCTTAGTGTTTTAAAAATGCATGTTATTTGTCAACACAGTTTAGAGTATACTACCTCAAATATCGCTATTGACCTTGAATAAGTAATAGTTAAACTAATGTTCTTTTCTTGTGGCACTGTCTTTTAAAGTGTCTATCTTTGATGCTGACTGTATGTTAAATAATATATTGAACCTATGTGAACCTGTTAAGTGCTTGAAGATAGTGAAAGAAAAATTTGCCAAGTCTTGTAGAAATTGTAAAATATTTATTGTGTAAGTACATTATTTGGGAACAATTACATTGTAATGTTACAATAACAAATAGTTATTGATTTTTTACAATTGTACGTCTGAATGACATGTGCCTGCTAATGTTATTAATATTTAAACCTCATTTGTTACAATTGATATCCTGTACTTTTTGTATAAGAAAGGGTTTAGGAGATTCATACCATGTGTTACTTTAATGTTGCATGGAAACAATTTGAGATGTGTATGAATACATCAATATTCTAAAGTTAGTTATTATTCTATTTGAAATAAAATATCCATATACATAAAAATTATATAGGTAGGAATATTAAAGTATTGTACCTATATATTCATTTGAATTTTAGATATCAAATTTCTCTACGCATGATAAACCAATAAGTAAGCTAAATATATTTGGAACTTTTATTTTGGGTATTAAAATTTTATTTAAATTACTAAAAAACAAATAATAAATTTATTATATGTTTTTTAGTAATTTCCGTAAACAAATGAGGTTGAAAGTTTTACCTATTAGACTAATATTTTTAGTAATGGAGATCGGAATGACATTTTGTATCATATTTAGTTAAGATTTTCTAGTTAAGTAATTACAATTTTAAACAGCAATTATTTTATTCTAGCACATTTGAACAGTATTAAGGAACCATAAATTTTGGGTCCCATATTTGGAACATTAAAATATTTTAGCCTACTGTGCTTAGAGGAAAAATAGTTGCTGTTGATGCTAGTAAAATAATTTTTAAGTTTGTGCATAATTTTAATTAAAAAAACTATTTTTATACATATGTATCAGTAAATAGGTGAAGCTTCTAGTCGTAACAAGTTAAAACTGTCATGTTATTGAATATATGGCTGACTCTTTCTCTCAATTAATGGTTACGCTGTGACAATGAAAAGATGAAAGATCTATACATAGAGGAAATGTCAACAAAGTAATGTGTGTTACGGTTGTAATTTGGATGGGTACCCGTTTTTACATGGGATAGTTGAATATTGATGGAACTGTAATCCAGGTACAGCAATTATGTGTACCGCACTATGAAACTTTTTTTTATATATTGATGAAAGCCATTATATTTTTGTAGTTTGTGCTTTATAGACATTGCAAGAAGGCTTCATTTATTTACAAAATTTGTATTAGAGACATTACATACTGCAATTTTGGCAATAGGTTCTTTTATCCATTTAGATATATAGGCCAACGCTATCACAATTGGCTTAGATAATAGAACATCTAGTCAGTATGTTAAGGTTTTAATAAGAGACATATACGCTATGTCAAGTAAAAAAGTAAGAAATCAAGGTATATATATTCATCACATATTGAAAAACGAACTTCTAAATATTTGGGCAAAATGATACATAAGTTACTTTATGATGAAGTTGACAGTATCTTGGCCTTTTAATTGGTCAGAAATTAAATTCAGTGTCTGCATACACTTGAAACGAAGTAAAGTTAAATTTAACTTATTAACATTTGAAATCGTCAATTGAAAATTACATCTAAGTATGGTACAAATTTTAATATGGCCCAACGAAATAAATTGAAATATCAAATTTTTAAGTTGTATCAATAAAATATAAATACTTATAGCTGTTTCATGAAGCGATCAAAACTAGGAACTGGACACGACAAAACACCCCGTTTGTTCAATTCAACAGACAATATTTAACAAACAATTATAATGCCGCTAACTTATTTGGTTCGATGAAAATAGAGCTGAAGTTTTATCAATTTCTTGTTTGTCGATTTGAAACAGGTTCACTAAAGAAACAAAAGCTTACTGCCCACTAGTGTCTACGCGTGTACCACAGACTAGTGTGCAAGCAAAGGATCATAAATATGCAAGATATTTTAGATTTATTAATGTTCAACAATATGATAACTTTAGGAGGCAGGTCTATAATTATTGTAATGTTATAAAGCGTCGCGTCATTAATCGCAACTGCTCATTCCATTATTGCCAAAGCGTTTTTGAGTGTCAAAAGAAACAAGAAATTCATAATTGACATACTGATTCCCTATTCTCATACTTATTTTTAAACAGGTAAAAAGTAATGGGTTGTATGTAATTATGTGTTTGAAAAGTTCTGATTCATTTTTATGTCCTTTGACATCTCACAGGTTGTCAAAGATTGAAAATAAACGCACAACATCGCATTGCATTGAGATTGTAATTATGTTTGATAAAATTACTGTTCTGCATAATTGCATTTTTAAATTTTAATATGCCCTTAAACTTGTCGCGAATATGTTTTTATTCAAGATCTTGCATTATTTATTTTCTATGATTTTGCTTTTGTTTACAAATTCTACAATCCTATTCATAAATATATTATTGGTCCTAAATATGTATTGATGTTAACTTGATGTGTGAAATTCAATACGTATTATAGACTCAAAGTACGTTAATTAATGAGGGACGAGTGTTTAAGCCCCTTTTTTTTGTAAATATCTATTTAGTTCAGTGCCAATTAATAATCGGTTTTCATATTAAAAGCAAGGTCCGTATTATATAATGTCTTAAACTTTAACGTTAACTGTCGTGAGAAAAAATGGATTCACATATCCTAAAACTTTTAAGTGAAAGTAAATAGTAAGTTAGTTCACTTTTTTGAATGCACTTCTACATTTTTTACTGTAACCTAGGCTCACCACCACAGTTGATTTGGTTTATTCAATTTATTTAACCCAAGCCTTTTAAGAAATAACTTTGGAAGGCTCAGAGTTGTTGGCGTTCAGGAAGAAATAAATATACTTACATATATATTATATATATACAGAAATAATATGTCCGACCCCACGATTAATTAATGCTTGAATTACGTTATAATACAAGTGTTAAAGTGCTCGGTGCCCGGTGCTCGCGAAGTCGAGATCTATCAAAAATTAATTGCTGTCAAAGTTTATTTCATTGAAATACATACTTTCAATGAAAGTAAACCGTAATACTTCTTTTATTAATGAAGTCAGCATTTTAACTTAAACTACGAAAACGGATTTATATCCTATTTTACTATAGGATAATTATTGTATCTGTCCAAATTATTCGTAAGCTCATTGTACTCTTCATTTTAAGTTTAGTTTTATCAATTTATACCTAAATGAAATATAAGAATTGTTAAAAAATAAATATTTATTTCGCCTCGACTACCTCAAAATATAAGTATCAATGCCGAATCTTTAATAATCGCTTATTACAGGATATTGAGTAATATTAAATCATCGATCGTTAAATCTAATAAACATGTAACTGGTCTTGTCTGTTCACACAAGATATTAATGACTGCATATTTAAAATGATTTTATTTGAAAAATAATCTTAGTTCGTATGAAACGCTTGTAACTTTGCCAACTTCAAATAATATTTAAAGTAATACATCCAATTAATTTCCTCTCACACGAGCCTTCAACTCGTATAGGTATATATTAGGTCCTTACATATGAAATTGGCGTTTTGTATGGGAGGAACAAAAAGTCGATTATTTTTAAATATATATTTAATTAATCAGTATCAGGAATCCGTACTCCTGATTAAATAATCAGGAGTACGGAGGATGTCTTAGACATTCCAATTGAAGCTCTTCTAATTTGGTAGCCGTCTGTTGTGCAGTGTGTGGTCTAGCGTTGTCGTCAAGTAGCAGTGGCGTGGAGCGATTGACCAGCCTAGGTTGTTTAGCCGCTAGCTTTTCCATCATGGTTTGCAATTGCTGACAATAGACATCAGCCGTAATAGGTAGAGAAAACTGCAATGAACAATACCGGCACTAGTCCACCAAACGCTTACCTTAACTTTTTTGGGGTTAATTTTCGCTTGGGGCAGGATTTGGCTGGCTGGCCAGGATCCAACCATTACGCTAAGCGCTTCCGATTATCGTAAAGAATCCATTTTTCATCACAGGTAATGATTCGGTTTAAAATACCTTCATTATTGTGCCGGTTCAGTAATGTAACGCAGCAGTCGACGCGCGTTTGCCGGTTTGCTTCAGACAATTCGTAAGGTACCTACCCATCTTTCAAGCTTTTTAATCTTCCCAATTTGCTTCAAGTGAATTAAAACAGTTTTATCACTAACACCGCAGCCTGCAGCTAACTCGGACGTGGTTTGCGATGGATCCGCTTCCACAATAGCCTTCAATACTTAATTATCAACTTGGGTCTCAGGTCGTCCACGGGGCTTGTTCTGCAGGTCGAAATTTCCAGAACGAAAACGTTGGAACCAAAAACGAACTGTGTTTTCTTTTGCAACATGACCGCCATACACATCATTCACCCTTCGAGTCGTTTCCGCAGCACTAGTGCTACGGCGGAACTCATACTATGCATAAATAATGCGATACTTTAAGTTTTCCATTTTGTAAAATGAGTGACGCAAACAGAAAAAAACAAATGAATGACGGTCATCGAAGCACAAATACATGAGTAAATAGCTGTACAAATTTGAATTTGTAATTCCTTACCAAAGAGGAGAACATCGTGATTAAAGTGGCCAGTACGAAATACGCCAATTTTATATGTAAGGACCTAATAATTCAACAATTGTTGAAGAGTCAAAATAAACCTAATTTAGGATATAAAATTATACCTATTAAAACAATTATAGAGAAAATAAATTAAAGAGATAAATTAATTGCCATTCGTTTAATAATATTATGTTGCTTAGCCTAATACATTAAGTACTCACGAATGTGTGTTTGTCGCGCTCATCCGATCATGATAAATTTTGATATAGGACCTTTTGGAAAAGAACATCCACGGGCAATAACCAGTATGTATAGTTAATGTTGACAATTCTAGTCGGTGAAGCAAGAATTAAATTAATAACTAGTTTATGTAAATGAACCCGTTCTCAATTTAGTTGAAAACAAACTGTTCTCGAGTATAGTTCTTTGCAATGGCGCACGAGAATTTAAGTGAGAGAGATCGTGCGGTTTTGAGAAGTATTTTTGATCCTACAGCAACAATTGGTGATGTAGCTGATGACGGAGATAAGTTTGGGGAAGATGAAGAAGGTTGGTAAGAACGGCGTCTCGACTCTCGGTGAACGAATGGTCCTCAATGTTTTATGGTTTCTGAATTTAATTGAGATATACCTATACTTAAGGTTCTACATAGAATTTAAATTTAATATCAGTCCTAACTCTTTCGGAAAAACTACTTAAATGATGTGTAAGAATTAAATTCCTCACGTATCTCAATATATGCTATTCATCTATATAGAGAAAAATCTCAACAAAAAAAAAAATCTCGAAACCAAATACATCTTAATAGTAAAAAACTAACTTGTTATATACATACATACAATCTCTATTGAGTCTTTTAAAGATATTTACGCAAAGTTTATCAAATAACTTAGATAATACACCAGCAAACGAAGAATCGAAAACTCTTTGCATCCAAGGGGTGAAATTAGCGGAATCAGGAAAACTGGTCGAAGCTTTGGAGCTGCTTAGCCGAGGAATTGAAGCTGCACCAAACAGAGCTTCGGGGTATAATGACAGAGCACAACTTTTGCGGCTTATGCAGAGAGATGAGGGTAATATTTCATTGTCTAGGTATATTAAGAAAACATTAAAGACATTTTCACCCAGAAGGAATATAATACTTATTTTAGTGGATTGTATTGTAATTGATAACTCCTGTAAGCCATAACCAGATATCTACATTGAAAAGAATATCGGTTAAATTATTATGTATGTATGTGATACAGTTACCATGAACAGATAATAAATGATAACAGGGAATATCCATTTTTGTATCCTTAATCACATACATCATTATAACGTTGAAAAAAAATATAAATAGTTTTGAAAATACATATTCAAATTAAAAACATTAAATTTTATTTACAGAAATAATTTGAGCAATTTAAACGACGACATTTTGCGCGAACTTTTGTATACGTCACGTGTTTGTTTACTATCGGCGTATCAGTTATTTCATACATATTTTCAAATTAAATCGCCATGCAGATCAAGGAATACCTTCTTGCAAGTAGCGAAGTCATGTAATGTACCGAAGTGCAAGAACACTTATTACATTATGTATGAAGTGCCTTTTATTCCAAAAGATACCGAGTACCGAAGATTAAGAACCTTTATCCCTTAAAGCGTCTTCAATAATTAATAAGCATTGCTTTACTGTATTTCTTACTTAACTTAGACTATAGTCCGACTATATAGACTATAGTAGACTTTTTTTAACTGATTGTAATCTAATTAACAGCCAAATCGCGCACTACCGAGACAAATGGACATCTTTGGAGGAGGCCTTTACCTTTGGGTTTTGGCGAGTGTCTTGCTTTATTAAGAAATATAATTTATATAAATAATTATATAAATTATCGGCAATTTCATGTTTATATTGTTGTGATCATAATTTTAAGGTAGATATGCTGCTATATATATACTGCTTAGTGTGAACTAGAAGTAATTTTCATTAATTATTTAAAAAATTGCTTTACCTACCTAAGGTAATTTACAAAAGTTCGGTAAACCATTTAAGCTTTCTTCTACTTATTCCTATATAAGCTATCTTCTCATTGGAGTTCTAGGAAAATTTTATGATAGAAGGAAAAGATCAGCTTTCGCCAGTTTATCCAGTACATTGTCTTGTCAAAATAGACGTCGTCATCTGATTTCCCTCCTTTATTTTGCACATTTATATAGTATTTTATGGCTTCAATTATTAAACAAATAAATATTGAATTATAATGTGACGATATACTTAAAACGATCGGATATAAAAAAGTTTGAAACAGATTTAAATGTTATGCATGTTTCCTATTTTAGAAGCAGTAGCAGACATAAATCAAGCCCTTAAGTTAACTGAAGGCAAGCGAACTCGGTCGCGTGCGCTAGCTTTGTGTCAGCGCGGCGTGATGTTGCGGAAGAGTGGATCTGACGATGAAGCACGCACTGCCTTCTCTGAGGCTGCTAAGCTGGGAAGTAGCTTTGCTAGAAAACAGGTATATTTTGTCTATAATAATATAACTAAAATGAACTACTGATTGCATTTATGAATTATTTGGGAGATGTATCGATTCGTTTTTTTTTAAAATTATTATACCATTGTCTAATGACTTAAGCGTACGACTCTCAATCAGGTCGTGCATTCAACAGTGGCTGTGTCCCAACAGATTATGCCTTGTGCGCATTATTCTTACTTAACAAACCTTACTTTAAGTTGGATAAAATCAGCAACAGATAGATGCTATCCGAGGCCAAGGCTTTTGGGTATACATCCATAAAGGGCCACTGGATTATCATTAATAAAAATTAGAATTCGACCAATTTTAATAAGCTACTTTTTCAGGTGGTGGAATTAAACCCTTACGCTGCCCTGTGTAATCAAATGCTCAGCCAAGTTATGAAAGGAGAGAATATAAAATTATGAGCAAGAAATTTGATGCCAACGTTTTGTGAAATTATTTTAAGATATACTTACTTACCTAAAATAATTTTGAAAATAAAAGACACATATCTAATGGATTAGAAATTTAATTTAAATTATTGAGTACAATTCACAGTCACAGTCGAGAAGATTCCACAAACATTTCTGCAGACATATCCAATGATCGATCCTGAGATACAAGCGATTGAATTCACTTTCGTATGCGTACGGACGAACGAACCGTTATTAAAATGACAATTTCATGAAAATGACGAATTTAATACTACAAACCCTACGCTAATAATATCAATTATTAGAATATAGCAATAAAATATTTATACGCAGAATTCTCATTTGAAATGTAACCAATAGTAAGCTCGAGACGACGCCATTGGTCGAAAATAGAAAATCCTGCGCATTCACAAATCCAAGTGTACAAACGCTACAAGCGGTACAAAGTTAATCAATTGGAACTATGCAACCAAGAAAAAGTTTTGCAAGACAATGTAAATAATAGTTTAAAACTTTTCCTCTTTTCAGAATCTAATTTTTAAAAGTTTAAAGTAAAATAATTATTTATCTTAAATTTTAATCCGTTTTTGGAATACCTTAAGAAAATTCGAATAATTTTTTTTTATTATTACTTTTCCACACCAATCATGTCTATTAGAATAAAAAAAAGGTCCGATTAATTAATGAAGATTTAACGTAAATCGTAAAAGACTGAATTACATTGATGATTTGCAGAACGTTTTCTTGTTTACAAAGAATGATATCACAGAGTAACAAAGCGTAACAGATGGAAAGATGTGGGCAGGCACAAGAGTTTCATAAAAATATATAATATTGTCGGAAACATGGTCAAAAGAGTCCTACATAGGAACACTAATCTAGTGCTAGGCGGCTTCAAAATTTACTGAACTGTTAGCTATCTTCAATAAGGAAATTTGACCTATTGAACATTTGATTTATTTTCTGTGGTAATGTATTTTAGATGTAATTTAAAATACGTAACAGTCCACAAAATTTGAAATCACCTACTAAGTTATACAAATCTAACCCAAGGTGCAACAATGGTAATAGTTATCAAAAAGGTGATAATAATTTGTTAAATGCTGCCAGTGTTTAAAAGTTGTGAATGTTTTATTTATCACTTTTTACTGCTATTCTTTTTGGCTCAATACGGATAGCGAATTTGAAAACACTTTTGAAAGTTTTTACGTCATTTGATTCTTTGTATTTTACACTGGCAACACTCAACATTTAAAAATGTAACATTAGCGATACGATAATACTAATTTTGGGGAAAACGTTACACTTTTGGCACAGGCGACGTGATACATAAAATACGACGCCGTAATATTTAAAATGTATATTTAAATCGAGATAAAATTTATACCTAAAATCCTGTATCATCTACGGGCTTAATTTAATAAGGTGATATTTAGGCCTATTTCCCTATGAAGGTTATAATAAATACTGGAAAATTTGACAAGCATCGAATGGTAACTAATCTTTAAATATTAATAATTCATAATTAAAAACATATAACTTATTTTCTTATTGAACACATTATCCAAATTTAAATAAAGTTCACGTTGGTAAATAATATACTTAATTGAATCTGACGAAAATAACACATACTCTTGGTATAATGTATTTTGGATATTTCAGCTAAAATGCAAGATGATAAAACCTTGTGCTTATATACAAGTGAGATCTTATATATAATATTTCACTTAAGAAAGTAATAATCTCAAAATACAATGCTTCGTGGAAAGAATCAATACTCAGCAGCACAATAGTTTTTAATGGTTTTGATAATTCCAAAAATATCTAATATATTTTTATATCATATTGATTTGTCAAGACTTTCCATTTATATTCGAACCGTAGCACGAACAATAAGAACATAAACACTAGAACAGCGACATACATTTAGAAACAAACGGAAGCAGGTACATGTATTGTTCGAATATGTCTACTTAACTTTATTTGAAAAACCGGCGCGATCAAATCGTAGAAATCTGACATTATTTATTCACGAAGACGAAACAATCGTAAAGTTCGTGCGAAGGCCTCGGTACGAAGAGAGCCGTTCACTATTTGGAAAACGTGGATATTTAGTATTACATATTCGATATCTATTTTTTAAGCGAAGACAATCTAAAGTTTTGTATCTGAGTATTTGATAGGAACTAATATTGCAATACGTATGATTTATATTAATTACTCTCTACGCAAAGTTATATTATTTGGAAAATAGTCAATATTAGTAGAACAGTTTAAGCATGTAATGCTTCAAATATCTATCTATTTTTGCGTAAGCTATTCAGGATCAGGTAAACTCTTCTCTTAATAATCTTTGATCTTATCTACTAGACGCACTATTGTGGGTTTTACTCTACCATTTAGACTGTATTTTGCAGAAATTTTTACTTAAGCAGTCATAATACGAAAAGACTTGAGGTGCTATTTTTTTTAACTTTTCTAAAGTACTGTTGTCTTTCTGATATTTAGCGAGCGTTTTCATAATGTTCATTAATAGAGTTTGGGGAAACGCTTTGCGTCTACTTGTGACTCCCTCTCCAGCTGACGATTAAAAGAGACTCATTTTCTTACTTATGCGACTGTTTTAACACAAATAAAGGAAATCATGTTGTTATAACTATACCACTGAACTATCTCTTTTCTACTCAGTGTAAACAATATTTGACAGAAAGAGACGAATGAGTATCGATGATAACAAGAAAAATAAGCTATTATCTTTATAAAAAAATAAATGTATATAAAAAAAGTAATTTATTTTCAGGACTATACTGGATAATTTGGCTTTTTTTTATCGGTGCTAATAAATTGTAGCTAAAATTTACAGATTCAGTGTATGATACCCTTTAAAATTGTATCATATAAAATCGATAAATAGATAAGTATATATATATATATATAGTAAGAAAATGAATCGCATAGCTTAGATCTAGGACGAGAAACTTAATACAAATCACGAAGCCATTTTAAAGAATAATTTCTAAGATCCTTAAATCTACGTACTAAATCTTCTAAAAGGCCAAATTGTAAATATTTAACTAACAGATAACCGTAGTTTAAAAAAAATCAACATAAAAGATTGACTAAATATGCAATTCATAATACTAATGAAGAACATCGATCGCAATTAAAATTATCATCTGTTAGTAAAATATAGAAACCGCATATCCTTTCAGAAGATTTAAAAGTATTAACGCATATGTCCGAATACTCAATAGTGATTCAATAAATTTGATCACCTTTTGTGTATTTGAACATCTGTTTAAACATCTAAAAGTCATTTATTAATTCAATTTAGAATCGAATGCTTCCCAATTTTAAATTCACATTTATTCTAGCGAGAGTTTTATTTTATTTTTATTTATTTATTATTATTTTAAGTTAGTAAGGCTATTTATTTAACACTACGCGATTATATTATTTACAAATAAAATCTTATAACAAATTAGTCAATAGAATATAATCGCGCAATGGACACACATACAATTAAATAACAAACGTAAACTTTGAACTTAAATCTAAACACAGTCGCGCTGCGATAAATCTCCAAAATACAAAAATAAACTCGAGATTCTCCTAAGAGATATAAATAGGATCTAGCGATACTTTAAACACATTAAATTTTTTTACCTATTTTTTTGCAGAAAAAAATACCGTCTATTATTTATTGCTGCAAATATTTTTTTCTTAAAACACAAAATCTATAGTATATATCCCTTTGCTCATAATTTTCAGCATATTTTGAGATAGACCGGTAGTAATATACAATTTGCAATAATTATTTGTTCGTATATATTTTTTTGTTATATTGAAAAATATAGATTATAGATTTGATAGATAAATCTAAAATATATATTGCGAATTTAAACGCCTGCATTCAATAAGATTTTATAATTATGCATGTTGAATACTTTTCGACACGTTTTACAGTAACCGTGGCCACAGTTTGTAAAATTTAGTGATTAGTAATTGAATTCATTATATGTGTATCTTTACTTAAAATGTGATATTTTTTAAATAAAAGACATCTATAGTCTGTAAAGGACCAAACTATTTTTAAACCCTTTTTGAAGAAACAAAAGTTTGTAGAAAGTTTCTATACAATTATGGTTTTCAATTGATTTTTATGTTCAGGATTTAATTTATTTTGTGACCACAATCGAGATTAATCGATTTAGTAAACCTAGAATTAAAACTATATCGCTAGTCCGTTAGTAAAACAAAAAACAAACTAACCAACACACTGATATGTGAGATTTAAAAATATGGATATGACATTAAATGATCGGAAACCGTAAGACAAGTGGCCCCGAGATGTTAAAGATAAAACACCCTATATACAAGCCTATTGAATAATGAATTTATTTAATGGCACGTGGGAAAGCAAAGAATGTAAATTAGAGAGCTATATTGCTTTAATTAACAAAATTATTGCCATAATTAAATATTCACCGGCTAAGTCTTCGGGAACTTCAGACCATTAAGGCCGGTGAAACCAAAGTCATGTATGTAATACTTGACTAATACCACTCGTTTAAAAATAAATATATGAGCAATCGAAGTACTCGAAAATTGAAGATCGACATCCAATATAAATGAACGAGACAGATATACTATGGATCGCATGAGTGACAGAGAACGACAGTTGGTGATTTCAAGGCCAATACGTCAGTCACGTAAAGAATTTCAAAGTGCGGCTTCCACCTGAAATTAAAATCCATTTTTAGTCTATGGCAGCACATTTGACATATATACTATGTCTACGAAAAATCTTACTGGGGGTTCGCGGAATACTAAATTTATATTATTGGTATGTTATCTAAAGCTGGCGGCTTCAACACATTTACACTTTGTGCTTGTGTAGTGTCTGTGAATAAGCGCGAGGCGTGATGTCAAACTGAAATACAATCACAAATACATCATGAAAAGACTGTCTGCCTCTCTCGCGCTCGGTCAAGCTTATGAGTATAAAAGAGATAGTTATTGATTTGCTTTTGCTACTGTTTATGTTGATCTTTACTGTACATGTTGATCATTTTTCAAACAAATGGTGCACAATGTTTTTAATTATTTAAACATCTTAATAAAAACAGTATAATGAAAAAATTTCATTTTTAATTTGACATCAGATGCGACTGGTGTTTCTAAGAGGAGTATTGAAAGAATTGTTAGTGAAGTAAAAGTGAAGTGTGTTGAGCTAGATGAACCTTATGTCGAAAAATTAAAAATTATTTACACAAACTACTCTTTTACGTTCTTGGTTGGGCTTAGAACTTTTGGATCCACCCTCGTATGCACATAATATTTATATGTATTTAACACATTATTATTTATTTACATCCCACCCAACCTTACAAAAACCAGAGTAGACTAAAGTATATAGCTTGGAAAAAAGTCATATTTTTAAACATACTGTTTAGTGAAATTGCATTAGTGAGTACTGTGAACGCGCCAGCCTTCGATGACCGACCTATACGAATACATAAGGCAGATTTTCTTTTGTAAAATTCATGATTTGACAGAATGATATAAATGATGATTTAAGGTAAAACAGTACAATAGCATTAAGTGAGGTTCTATGAATAAGGGTGAAAGTTTACATATTTAATAATATTAGGTCAAGATTTAGCGATAAGTATTAAAAACCATATGTCAAAAACGTATTCGATGAAAAACATTTCTATTGATTTATATGGAAATGCTATCTTTGGAGTTGTTTTCAGCATATTTTGAGTCATTTCTATGGAGAAAATTTAATGGATATTGGGGTATCTGTATGACCGTACACCATAATAAACGTATAAGTATGTATACGTACCAGTTCAGACGTGTTGCACGTACTCTGGGTTGAGGAAGGAGAAGCCCATGAACTCAGTCTGATCGAGGTTCATCATAAAGAGCTTATCTGTTGGCGTCAGCTCCGTCTTCTCAGCCGTGAATTGCTTGTCGAAGTTAGACACGTCCTTACGGTGTTTCTGTAATCAAACAAACGAGTTAGTTTACCTATAACAGACTGAGAAATCTCTGGCAAAGTACCTGTGAGAAATCACTGTCCACATATTCTATTTGTTATTATTTAGCTATTTTGATTGTTTAGCAACTTGTTTTTTATAGAATAGGAGGCAAACAGGCAGGAAGCTCGCCTGATGTTAAGTGATATCGCCCAAGACACTTACACTGCCAGAAGGCTCGCAAGTACCGGCCTTGGGCCCTTAGTCAAATTAGTTCGGAAACACTTCAGTTAATTTTTATGCGAAATCTTCCAAGAGTGAAAATTTCATATAAGTCATATAACAATCTAAAAAAAATCTGGTAGCTTACGATCTTAGGCTTGAAAGGTGGCTGCACATCCCTGGCCTCAATCCTGGCCCAGTCGATTCGCCTGAAGAAGGGGTGAGTGCGCACATCTTCTTCGCCCCGCATTCCACAACCCAAACGCTTCTGAGGGATCTTGGTTAGGAAAGATTTGCACGCATCTTTTGCCTCCTGCAAATCGCGTAAATGTTTTTTTTTTAAATTGTAAAGATAAACTATTGAAATATTGTTTATTGACAGACAAAACGAGTGTTTTTGTTAATTTGACAGCACTCTTACGTTATTATAGTTTGACAGACTTTATACTTAATATGAATAAATTAAAAGTATTTAACTTTTGTAAATAAATGACGCGTAGCAAATAAGAATTATATTAGTTCGCAAAACCACTTCACATTCCGCACAAACTCTAGATTCTGATTTGCCGAACGGAACGACGAATCGTATCGCGTTTCTGTCATTGGACCAATCACAATCAGACGTGAGGCAGCTTCGTTTCGACTTTCACGAACACGTCTTTTATACTTCAAACATATGAGAATATTTCTACTTGTCAAACATTGGATAAGAATGAAATTATATTTAGCGTTCTATTGTAATACTAAGGTCATTATTATAAAATCAAAAAGAACTAAACGACCTAAGATTTAAGAGAAATTATTCTTCAGTGCTCAACAGCTTTTACTTTAAGATATTATTCAGAATAAAGCAGGTTCTAGCTACAACTTTTTGTGTTAACTAATTTACTTTTAAACGATTATGTTCGCTATAATGTTCACTTACATGTTATGAGTTATACATATATGTTATAAATATCTACAAAACTTCCAATAATTTTACCTTGCTCAATGTCTTCGGATAGGATACACTATTATCAGTGATAGCCGCGAACAGTTCCTCTTCATCCTCACCGTCGAATGGAGGTTGTCCCACCAGCATCTCGTACAAAAGGACACCATACGCCCACCAATCCACCGACTTTCCATACGGCTGGTATAGAATGATCTCTGGTGCTATATAATCCGGAGTACCACAGAAGGTCTTGGTAGTTTTGTCACCAGTGATGCCCTCTTTGCACATACCGAAATCGGCAATTTTGATATGACCGTCCTGATCGAGCAGGACATTGTCAAGTTTAAGATCCCGGTATATTATCCCACGGGAGTGTAGGAAGAACAGACCAATTGCGATTTCGGCCGCGTAGAAGCTGAAATAAGTTAGTTGGTTATTTAACAATATCTTCTAAACTTTTACATAGTTCAGTACGTGGTTGGGATAATAAAACTGCACCGTTACAAATTGATAAGTTAAAAATCTGCTAACATAATCTAGACTTTTATTAAGACTTTTACTGATGCGGGAAACTTATAAAAAGAAATACGTAATCAGAAGAAAACTAATTTATTTTATATCAGCCTTCTAAGCCAGACGCACTATTTGAGTCCATGGCATACCCGATTTGCTCACTATATTTTACTTCACCATAGAAGAAAGAAAGGAAGGTAGTAAAATTATCGAGTGTTTTGCTAAATAAAATAAAAATATCCAAACATACCAAAATTATTATGAACGATATGATGGAGAGACAAAGATGAAAATTAAGACTTACACAGCAACCGGTTCCTTAAACTTCCCGCACTGTTGTATCTGGAACATGAGATCCCCACCGTTCACGTACTCCATCACAAAGTATAGACGATCCTGAAAATGTATGATGAGCTATTGTATAACTAAACACCAAATTATGCATATATGCTAAACAGTACATCTAAAAATGTCGTGGGGTTTTAACAAAGTTGTGATATCTAATAAAATAATTCCAAATAAATTCCAATTATCTATATAAATGAAAGTAAATTTTATTTAAAAAAAAACTTGGCACGTACGACTCACTCGTTTCAAAACGTACCCTAAACTTTTTAATTAAAATAAAGCAAACTTTTATATTGATAATTTATTATAAACGTTTAACGTGGTGTTTTTATCATAAACATTTTGCTCACCATAGTCTGGAAGCAGGAGTGAAGTTGTACGAGGAAAGGAGGCTTACTGCTGAGGGCCAGTACTCTCTTCTCCACCATTGTACACTCTACATCATCATCTTGTATTATTATGTCTTTCTTCAGAATCTTGATGGCGTACAACTCGTCAGTCCCTCGCCGTTCTGCTAACATGACCTGGAAGAGGTTTTATGATAAGTTAGAAATAATAAATTTATTCTTAGTTCTTAACATACATTAAAACCAAAAAGAAATCTCCTCAAGAACTAAAAAATATACTATTGTTAATTTTTATTTGTATAAAATAATAAATAATTAATGAAGACAGACTTTACAAAATTAGTTAGCGAAAGTCGTTTACCTTTCCAAAAGAACCTTTTCCAAGAACCATGATAAAGTTGAAATCTGTCGCTCTGATGACGTCAGCGGCCGCCATATTATGAGGAACCTCACGATCAGGTGGGGGTGGAGGTCTACGTTGGCCGACATTTGTAGCCTTCATCTGGTTCTTGAGTTGAGCTAAGTCAGCTCCCTCTTCGGGTACGGGAACATTGTAGTAGTCTCCTTCTTCTTGTGTAAGAAGCTTGAACCACCCATCAGCTGGGGCCTTCATCAACTCGGAGATACCGAAGGAAAGAGAGCCCATGAAGTCGTTACGGGAGGTACGATCCCAATCCCATATCTGAAACAGATTGAATAGCGACGAAATAAAACATTAAGGAACGAACAGTTCAATGTTTTATGTCGGCACTACACAATAAACATATTTAGTAACTGTTTTATTTCTGAGCTTTGAAGCTAACATATATTTAAAATATCTTGCCTCGAGTAACAGTCTTCGATCCTTATCTTCAGGTTTCAGATCGAAGGTAAGTGTTTCATTCCACTCCGGGTTCAGGCAGCTGCGGATTGTCTTGGTTTTTTTCTTGACATTGTCGGAGTCAGGAATCAGTTTGAGCTTCACGTAGGGGTCTGATAGACCGTTGGGGTCCATCGGTATCAGATTCCGGCCTTGCTTCACTGTGAAAATCCCAAACATTCTTGAAAGCTGAAATTTAATTATTGCAAAAGATTTTTCGCCCTTGGTACGGCGAACTTCGGAGGACTCACACACTATTTAATCAAATGAAAACTCAGTACTTGACGCGTATATCTTTTTTAAACAGCAGATTATTTGCGTTAATATAATCCCTTAATTTAAATACAAATAATACAAATTTATATGTAAACATGTGAAAATATATATCAAGTAACCAATTAACACACCCAGATAAGTCGACAAATAAATTTATTCGTTTTAGCTTTGCCTAAACCGAATTTAAGTACAAAGGATATAAGTTGGTATATTTACGCTTTACTGCTTTACGGCCTAAGTGCGTCCCTTTTTTTTTCACTTAGTCTTTTTTTTCTAGACTTAAAATATCTAATGTATCACGCCTATTGAAATAAGGTCGAACCCACATTTTTCTTAGTTTTTTTGTTTTGACTTAGGTGTTTAAACAATATAAGCTACTGCAACGCGAATGAGTTCGTCCGCCATTGCAGCCATAGTAGGTACTAGCCAAGCCATGTATGTAGACCGTGTAAAAACAAAATAATGAGCCATATACTGTTGGAGAAATATTGCCGAGATATACAATTTTTTTAGCCATGTGCTGCAAGAAAATGTTTTTTGTATTTTTGGGATATAATCGGCAATGATGGAGCCACATATTTCATGAAAAGTGTAGCCCGTGTAAAAGACCCTTTAGGTTACTATTCTGTACGTACCGACGACGGTAAGCTTGTTGCCAACGCAGGAGACGGTGAGTTGTATGCGCCCGCGTCGCTCGGTGTGATCGCAACCACACAAGTTTGGCACCGACTCCTCGCAACGTTTGTGTACGTTCATGTCGCATGCTGAATATATTAAAATATTACATAGTACATATTTTGTTAATCGACTTTGGATTTATTATTATCATTAATATTTATAATAAAATCTTACTTAGATTTACAGTAATATAATATAAAAGTGCTACAAAATCAATCATGTTACTTACGTTAATGCTAAAGCTCTAATAAAAATAAATATCAATTAAAGAAACTTGTAGTCACTTAACAATCTAGCACATCTAAAGCGATACTTTGGGACTCTAAGAGATATGTAAACTTGTATTATAAATCAGCTTCATCGTTATATAAAGCGTTATATACAGCTTGCGTACTGTTAGGAATCGCATGTGAACCCATGCACATGCAGAATACATACATAAATAACAAGAATTAATTAATCATATAAAAAATGAACAGTGGAACAAATAGAATGTGTTTCCAAATGTTGCCATAAAGTTAGGACATTCTTTTTTTCTAGAATATTCCAAATGTTTCTATACTGTTCACATTTAAAATATCTATAGGTGCGGACAAGTTATATAAAGTGATTAAATAGGTAGACAAAGCGAAACAAAGGAAATGGACGAGCGAGATAAATACTAATAAATTAAAATTGAATGAAGCAAGAAATATGAAACAAAATAAATTGAATTTAATTTATCCGACGTAACGACTCCAATGTTTCAGAGGGATCCAATTTCGTAATAAAACCGGATTAGCGTTATCGTTCATTATTCATTTCTTCAAATTCGTGCAAAGGGAATTTAATCAATATTCCGTAACAATTCACATGTTTACAAAACCCTGGTCGAACCCAAATGGTACATTGTTGATATTACTTAAAATTTTAATCTAGTTATTCATAGAAACTAAATCAGCCTTAATACAAAATTTTTATCTAGCAATGAAGTCTCTTTTCAGCATAGCGTCAATATTGACGAAAAGAATGACAAATGGGTAGGTAATGTGCTCATGTTTTAACTAATTAAATCACTGATTTGCTTTTAAGATGCTCAGCATGTCAGTGTCAGGTATTCTTCATTTCATTCACTCATTGTCATTGGTCATTTACATATGATATGAGGAAATACATAGTCCTAAGCTAACTTTAATGGGTCGCACAGGGTTTTCTGACCAATTGTATTGCAATTCAGCCTATTTCCATAATCACAGACAGCTAAACATCAATTGGACAATTCTTGAAAGATGCTTCGGAAACTAATTCCCGGGAGGGTCTAAGTATACCTCCACACTTATATCCCTGATGCGCAAGACCGAGTATCGAGCCACAGTGGTCGCAAAACGTTGGAGCTAAAAATGTCCAATTGTTCCATTTGTGTGGTGCGGCCTTTAAAACAATAGTGAAGAAATAGAGATAGCAGATTAAAAACTACAGAAATGCCACAAAGCAGTGTTAAAGGCATATTGCACTATAGGATTTGGTACATCATTATTTATATCTTGGAATGAAAAATTCCGCATTCCTCGTCGAATACCAAAACCGGATAGTTTAATATGCCTAAAGCAAAAATGAAGACGTGTCAAAGCCTTATGACTAGAGAAAATGACGTCATCAAGCAGTAAGGCTACTGAAAATTAGACCACCACCAAGCTGAAAGCTAGAAGCGTACGTCGACCGTTCTACCTTGACACTTGAGGCCCTGGTGGAGCAGGCCGTACAGTAGCGAACCGCAGTGATCGCAGAATGTTGGCGAAGAGTAGGTGTAAGCCTTGAAGTTGTGTCTGGTACGAGTGTCCTATAGTTGCATAAATACAAACTTATTCACGAATGTATTGTTTTAATATGTTCTGTCTAATCTAAGAATCTTAAGACATTAGTTAAAGATAATAGAACGTCGGCACACTTTTATAATTTCAAATTCAATTAATTCGTAAAAAATATTTCAATAAAAATAAAGAAAATACTTTTAATATATTAAAAAGCTATATTAATAAATTTTCTGATCCCAATCATAAAAGTGACAAGACGCTCCATAAAACTCGGTGTACAACATCGGGTTTTTGATGTAAAACCTTTTATGGACCATAAAAGAGGCCCTACACTTGATAAAAATTATTATTAACTGATTTCTGTGGAAATGTTACTGACTTTAGGCCGTCAAAAATGACGTACTATCACAAAGTAAGACAGTACATTACTCTAAGTATTATAGGGCACTAAATTAAACTACACCAAATATAGCTTAAATCAAAGTAATAATAAAACAATATTGCTTATGGTGGTCAAAGGATTTGCATCACTATATCTTCGTAAAAGTTCTTCTTAAGACCCTTACTTTATTTACATATTAACTATTCAGCATAACCGGCTCACAGGTAAAACAGACTATGTTTCGTAACAGTTAAGTAATTGATTATCTACAAAGACACTTTTCTATATAATTTACTTTCTTTACTACTTTCGCACACGTCGTCCATTATATTTTCTTAATGTTCGATTAGTAAATAATTAACGAATAATCTGCAGTAAATAGTGCTGCGTAGCTCTGATATTTGTATGTTTAGTTTGCTGATTTAAGGAAGCAAGAGAGGCGAAAGCCTTATGAACGGTTGCATAAGGAACCTAAAGAACCTGATTGACAATTTAAAAAGTGATTTACAATTTTATAATTGAATCTAAACTAAACTAATATGATAAATCTTTACTAAATTAAGTAAGCGCTAAATTTTAATCAACGACTCTGAACACCGCATTGTTTATAGTTAATATTTGTTTAATATGTTTATGTATTACACTAATAGGATCTTAGCATAATGGCTACGTTTTAATATTTTGCTTTCGAATTCGCAAGTGAATAATAAAAAGCTAGACTTTTTGTTTGACCTTTCTGAATAACTTAATATTTTTACAGCTGCTACAGAATTTATTATCTACAACAATAATATTATATTTAGGGCTACGAGTATTATTTATGGTTCTCGTTTGGAATAAATGTTCGTTTAATTAGAATAATATAGACGCACAAATTCTTGGTACATACAATAAAATTGATTAAGCCTATCCTCTTACTAAATGCAAAGAGCTCCATGAAATTTGTATAAGTATTCTTTATTAATAAGAAATATATTCTAACAGTTAATTTTCATTGACAGCGGTTTAGTAGTAAAATAACGTGAATAGTATAGAATTTTTATTTTGGTCGGTATCAGATTTATTATTAATACACCCTTTATTCTATCAAAAGGATCGATTTTCCAATCCCTACAGCCCAATTCCCGCATTTTCATATTCATACCTTACCCTACTTTCCATAAGGTAATTTGGCAATTTCGAAAATAAATCTTCTCAAAAAATATTTATCGTACAGATACAGAAAATTTCGTTTTTCATTAATATTTAATTCAGTCACGATAAAATATAAAATTAAATTACAAACTAACAGCTATTCAGCTGTTTGTTTTTTGATATCCTATTGACATGTATCTATTATTATCAAATGTTAATAAAAAAATTATAATGAACACGAAAAAATATGTTTTTATATTTTAAAATAATAAACGTGTTCCAGATTCAAAATAATTAAAAAGTTGACAAAAAATGCATTTTCATTTGTAACAGAACTTTGCCAGAATAGTTATTGTTAATTTAAGTTAAAGAATGCGAATGTATTGTAAACTTACTATTTAAATGTAATATAAAATATGTATTATTACTCAAATATAACTAAGCAAATCTTATTAGAAATAACTTAGAAGTCAGGTCTTTAACGTAACTTTACAAATAAAAATTGTATTATCCTCAATAAACCAGCACATAAATCTCATTATAGATGTAGCCCTATGGGGCATTAATATTATAACTATGTACTCCCAAAAAGTTGAATTTAAGGATTTAAGCACAAAACAATAACAAAAAAATAGTCTTTATAGACAGCATTGCAGTATTTTATTTTAGTTGGATTATTAACAATTTCAAAGATCTCGGTAATTTTGTCTAATGCTGACAGACGTTTACTAACTAAATGTTTACTTACGTCGGAATCGGCTCCCTTGTCTGCGCCGGGACACGTAAACGTAACATACTCGTGGCATCTTTTGTGGACCACGAAACTGCATACTGGAAAGAAAAAAGATGATCTTATGCCATGCAGTAGTCAAATAGTTTATAGAAAAACTTCTTTTTAAAGGCTCTTTACTATATTAACCTAAATCTGATTGAAATTATGCAATAATACTAGCTGACCGGCAAACGTCGTTTTGCCATGTATATTATTTCTAGGAAAATTTTTTTAGCTAAATAACTATCTACATACTATAATAAAAAATAGGGGTTGATCGTAGAGGGGTGACAAGTAAGGGTTGTATGTATTTTTGTATAAAAAAAATAAAAAAAAAAAGGTTTGTCTAAAAAAAAATTTGGGGTGGTGTTCTTAATTTGGGGTGGTGTTCTTAGTTTGGGGTAGTGTTGGTAAGTGTTCTTAATCGTATTCAGAAACGTTTTTCTTGACTAAAACAAATTTATATCATCAGAAAGTACAATGAGAAAAAAGTAAATTAATTTTTAAATAAATTAAATAGATGAGCGGTATTTTAATTTTGGACAACTAATAATTTAATTAATTAGTGTAGTTAAATCTTTTTAGTTTTCTTTGTATTTGTACATTATATCATTCAACACTATCTGTTTTTATAGTAAACTAGCTGACCTCATAATCATAAATTTCATAAGAATCGGTCGAGCCGTTTCGGAGGAGTATGGGAACGAACATTGTGACACGAGAATTTTATATATTAGATATAAACTTGGCATACACTAGAGTAACAATTTAGTAGATCACGTTTGACATCTGTCAGTTTTATCTCTGACCTGCTTATTACATCGACTAAAGTGACAATCGATACGGACTCTAAACATATATTAATCCAATTCAGTTATGAAAAAGTACTTTTATTTATTAATTATTATAAATGAGACTTTTAGAGTCTCTAAATATAAATATAGTGATCGAATTTGACATACGAGAGTCAGTTCGCGCTAAGTTTGTTACTGAATCTCACTCTTATTACCGAAAGAAGACGTAGAAAAACTCACCTTGACACTGAAAGCCTTGTTTTCCAAATCCCCTGTAACAAAGAGAAAATATCGTTTATTTTTAGCTCAAGTAAAACATTTCATATGAAATCAAATTTAATTATAATATAACATTGTATAATAATAATAACTAACTTTAAACTATAAGACATTAGACTATCTTATTCCAAATTTAATCAACTCGCTACCAGCTGCACTTTTTACTGATATCACAAGAAACAATATAAATTGAAAAATTGTTACATATCAAACAGTAATAAATTATGTATAACAAAATAATTTGCTAATCAGACATCACCTCACTAATTTTTTATACAAATCATCGAATACAGGAATACATCGTGTATTCGAATGAGAATTCTCGTCATGAACAGGTTTCTTGCATCGGCTATGGAGCGTCAATGTTTCAATTGGTTTGTGACGTTTTACGCGCAATTTAATGGTTGAATGGTTATGTTATGGTGTATATGTCATTGGCCTTGGTATATAAGTTAATGATTTAAATCTATTCAACGTCCTGATGTGCAGAAAAAACTGTGTCCAGTTTGTGTTTCCACCACACCAATTTCTTTTCTATTTTAGATTATGTATACTTATGAATATTAAATAGCAACATTTTATAACTATGTATCAGGATATGATTCGTGTGCATTTAACGCAAAACAAATGACATTATCATATGCATGTTTGGAAACGCCAGTCTTATCTTAGACTCACCTTCTTCTATGATATATGAAGTTATCTCTAAGCAATGATTAAATAAAATTCAACGAAGTATCAGAAAATAAGATAGATGAAAGAGTCAACTAATTATACGAAAGTAACCTTTGTTAGGGTAAAACAAACATGTCCGCAACAAATATAGAACAATAAAAGATTATAGTATCTAAATGCTATTATTATAGTGAAGACTAAATTGTAATTCATATAAAATTTAACACTTTCGCAACGCTAAGAAAACAATACCCTATATACACGTTCCACATACTGCTCTGATAAAAGATTTCACGAATATTCAAGCCGGGTTTAATAAAGTAAGAGGCGCTTTATGGAGATAATATTATAATCGCGGCGTGTGCTGGCACTTAGAGGCAGTTATCGTAAAAATTCTAAGGCCATATTGTTACATAAATGCTGGATTTCTGCGGAGTAATGTTATAACTTTTGTATTTTCTTTAAGATTATTACTTTAATATTCCGCATATATAGGCACCTTATAAAAATAACTACTATTACCAGATATGAATTTTACGCATATCGTAAAGAAAAACTCTAGCCGAAAGTAAATACCGGTTTGCAATAAAAGCTTGTCTAAATTTTATCGATCCAATTACTATTTTATTATAAAAACTTTAATAAATTAATGGTGATAACTACAAAACAAAATAAATACAACGTGGCCATAAAAAAAATAAAACGTGTAATACGGATAAAAATGTGTTTAATTTAAACTAAGTAGGTACTTGTTTACAATAAAACTAAGCAGTGACACGCTTTCAGTCGACATCGCCGGAACAATGAGATGTATGAACAATGTGCGCGATACTGAATATCTAGGCACTGTTGAGAGATCTAGGTAGCCATCAATTTACGTAATATTATATATGTACCATTTTTAATTTAATTTTATTTACTATACACCCTTACACACGATTTTCATTACTCACACTGCTAACTTTAATATTATTATTATTTTCTACTTAGTATTTTTTTTTCTTTGCTACTGAGGCGCAAACTAGCTGCTGTGGTCTCTGGCAGAATGACCAGCGCTGTGGAACTTTCTGCTCCTCAGCATAATGCTGAGCTAGGGCCAATTACAACCACAGTACACACACATTGCACACTTGAAGCGAACCGAATGGGAAAAGGGAATTTTTAATTTTTATTGTTTTTGATATGTCTTATTTTATTTTTTCTTTGAGTGTTGTTACTTTGTGTGTTTATGTGTGTGTGTTTTCGTATGTAATAAATGTTATCTCTATGTCTAATACTAAAGGGAACGCGTCTAAATTCCTACTTTAAGTTATTAATAACCCTTGCTTTTATTTACGCTAAAATAATATACTTGTCTTAAACTGGCTTTGGAGCACGTGAAATCGTGATCTTTTTTAATTATGATTTCATAGTGGTGATAAATAATCTCTTTCAAATTTATGTCGAGTCCGTTTTTGCCTGGTAGAATGTACGTTTAAATTCACGACCACAGGATTAAATCGGGCCGACAGCCACTAGGACATAGAAGGTATATAGATATATTAAAGTAATATTCTCACATATAGAAACATACAAGATACACGCATTAATATTCCAGATCGCTTACAAAAACTACTTAAACGCGCAATGTGTCGCATGGCATATTCCATTCACGGTTGACATATGAAATGATGAATAGCTGTTAGCTAAAAGCATTACTTCCACAGCTATATTACAGATACGTTGGCTGCGTTGACATTGACAGCGAGAATGGCAGTTTCATCTACAAAGTGTGCAAATGTTATCTGTAGAGAGAATAGAGAACGCAAAAATACATCAACATCTGAACTGTCGGACGGAACAAAAAAACAGATATTTAATGTTTCTCCAGGCTATTCTAGTGAAAAAAGTGGCAGGTCTAATTACACAGCACAGGTCAGGAAGGGTCAACATAATGTGATTATTGCCTCGTACCGAAGCTTCATGTGCATCTAATCCAACGAATTTATAAAGAACAAAATTATATAAAAAAATTGTTGTGTATTCTTCAGTGCTTTATCTGTTCTTAATGGAAAAATGTATACATTCTCTCAAGTAAACCACTAAAAATTCAATAAAGCTTCAAGAGCTAGAGTATTAGCCACCCTTGAGTAGACACGAGGAACCCTTTCGTGGAAATATTCTATGAGTCCCGGGAGCAATCAGAATGTTGAACCGGTTCGTTACTTCGACGTATGCGCTAAACGATAGTACTATTTGTTTTTTTTTACGATTAGAGGTTTTTCTGTTTCGGTTTAAATTAGTATTATCCTTGAAGTGAAAATTTTCACTTTAATTAGAAAAAATAAATTAGTCCTACTACAATAATGTTTCATTACTGATCTCCTTAAAATAAATTGTGCGTATACTAGGTGTACACACGTAAGAAGTGAAACTTCTTTATGATCTTATTTTTCGAAAAATGATCTACTATATGCAACTTTACAGAAATTCGTTAAATTAGATTAAGTTTAACAAAAGACTTTTATTATCATAGACATGAATACAAATATTTCATTTTACCTTATTACTACGAAGATTATTATAGAATTTCATTAATTGTAATAGAATTATTACTATCATTGAAAAACGTGACGATTTGCTACAAAATTTCTCCCATACGTCGATAAAGAAGTTTCATTCCAACGCCGATAAAGAAGTTTGACTTCAATAAGCACCATGGCGCGTAACCGAAAAATGTGACGCGTAACGAAAAAATGTTAAATAAAAAATGCTAAATTTTTTTCCAACCTCGATAAAGAAGTTTCACTTCAAAAAGAGAAATATTAGTAGTTTTTTATGATATTGTGACATAAATACAAATTGGAAAACGGGCCTTACATTACAAGCTCTTAATATTTAATACTAGATTAGAATAATCATTATGAGCCTTTATGAGACACAAAAATATATAATCAATATAAAATCATGTTTTTTAAGGTCCCGCTATACTTAAATTTGCTATAGCGTAGAGTAAATTTTTAGGCTACCATAAGATGGAAGAGTCATTGTAAACGATTAACGCATAACATTTTTAAAACTAATAATAATGTGAAAAGTCACGTCACTTTTCACCTATAGAATACAAGTTGATCGATAAGCATTAGTAAGGGATCCCTGGCACGGGACCAAATCTCGAATAGATAGAATGTAATTTATAACTTATTTCAATTCCTCGTTACCTGCTCAACCGCATCTTATGATACTTTGAATAAATCATATTGACATTATTTATGGTTTCCTGTTCACACTGCTTAATTTTCCTATTCAATCCGTTCCTGGGTTAATATTCTGGTCTCGATTCTATGCCAATAGTTCAATAATACTACATCGCAAGTGGATAGATAGATGTATATGGTACAACTGTATATATAAAGATAAGGAAAACAATATTTAAGTATTATATTTAATTTAATCTCGTTGATAAATAACTAAAATATTTAAAGGTATATTATTTCTGGTTTTCGATAACTTAGTTAAACAAGTATATTATTAAGCACTGATCAAAGGAGCCCTTGCGTCTTTTTATCACGCTGCTTTATTAATAAATTATAGCCACTGCAATATTTGCGTCAGTCACCTGAGTTACATATGTCAAGTAGGTCCCAGTTACCAAAGTATAGCCTATAAATTATTTATAGATATTTGTTAAATATCTTATAGTAAAAAAGATGAATGGTTGTCACCAAAAACAATTCTATGAAACTCCTAACTTTCTTGTTATACAATTTCCCTATCAAGACGCGTTGGGTATGTAGAATTTATATAACCCTGAGCTAAGTGCCTTAATATTTACACGTAGCAACAAATTACCGGATGTCCTATAAACTCTGGCATTGTATGCTTTACTAATATAAAATAGTGTAATTTAGTCGACATTATTAACACGCGGTCTTGGCTATAATCCAATTGTTTCACTATATCAATAATTTAATCGGAATTTTATTCTAAACACCAATATAAAAACAAATTTAAGCAAGGTAAATTCCTATGTATAATCATTTTACTAGCCGCTGGCTATGCTCCGATGATGTAACTCGCTCCTATGTCAAAGGTAAAGCTTTCGATATGAGATCAATTTTGAATTACCATACAATGAATAAGAATTGTTCTGGCGTTTTTGGAAGGACCGAAACATCTCATAAATTTTTTTTCAAAAAATTGAGATATTTCCTAGTTTCCTTAACGGCGCTGAATCTTGGACTATACGAATATCTGAAAGGAGGAAAATAGATGCTATAGAAATGTGGAGGCGAATAAATAGAATTATCTGAACTGCTAATAAAACAAATGTGTTCATACTAAGATAGTACCAGGTACAATTCGTCTTTCGACACATTGTTACCAACAGATCCTGAGTTTTTTTGGACATGTAACCCGTAGAGGTCCAGAAAATTTAGAAAAACTTATTGTGACTGGCAGATTGCAGAGTACTAGACCTTGAGGCAGTTGCCCCTACTCTCTGGTCCGATCAAGTCCCTTTCGGGTATTACCGTCACTCAGGCGCTGAGGCTATAGGGAAATTGTGCGGCGACACTAACATGAACTTTAGAAATGAACAGCGTGACAGAAGAAGAAATTAAAATTGTATTTATTTGTACCGTTTTGTCGGCTTTTATTAAAAATATGAGAATAAACGAAGCTCTTCGTAAGAAACAGTAGTAACATAAGATAGGTTTGTTTTGTAAATTCTATATATAAGCTTTTAACAATACTAAAATTATGCGACACCAAATATTTCACGTTCAATGATATTTATTCATAACGAATGGGGATTTATCGCACAACACTTGCCAAGATATGTGTGAATTGGAGTAGGCCATTTCGTGGTGTACATAACAATATAGTGTCCGAAATTATTAGCAGTTTTTAATAGTTTTTCAAATAATTTGGCTTAACGTTGCCAAAGATCAAAAAGTCACTCTGTACTCCTGGTGGTGTGCAGAAGGCGAAATCTGTCGAAAAGAGTCTGTATATATATATATATGTAAGGAAAACATAATATACATATTTTCCTATACAAACTCTTTTTATATTTTATTTTTCTTCTTTGCCGTCTGATCGACGATGTTTAAGGCGGAAACATACTACCAAAACGCGACGCTACGCCACGCCATCCGACGCATGTCAGTACTTATCAATCCCATATATTTAATATGGTCAGATGCACATAGACAACACGCCATGTGATCACACGCGGTAACATCCAATCGATTTGGATCGGCGTGTTGTCGTGTTGTTGACGCCAAGCGTCAAACGTTCGAGTTTTTGGCACAAATGTCAATTGTCAGCTAAATGACTTCTGAATTTGCAAGTGTGTCGTGGTGTCGCGTGTTGGTAATGTGCACGATGGACATCGGGTGTCGACACGTTGCGTCGCGTGGCGTTTTAATAGTATGTTTCCACCTTTAATTTCTTTTGTAAATAAATCTCTTATATTCACAGAGAAACGCAGTTGCGCCTTATTTATTCCCAGGACTCGTATAAGCGATTGATACCATTATATATATATTATATATGTTAAATCGCGTTACATATTTTTTTAAATATAGGGAAGGCGTTTAGGTTTCAGTCACACCTCGTCCAATTTTGCATCTACAATATTACGGTTCCGTCATATATTGCGTCACGACCAATGCAAATGCATGCATAAAACACGTAGAAATTACTATCCAAAACTGGTTAATTCACTAAAGAACCTAACACACTTTTATTGTACGTGACTTTTTGTGAATAAAAGATTTCGAAGCACAAAGCACTGATAAGCCACCTAGAGATACGCGAGGCAATTCTTTGACAAAAATCCACGGAAAAATTCAATTTTCCGAAGAGGTATTTTCGATGACATGCACACTTTTAAAGCTTTTTTACGTTCGGTGAATCCGTAATTAACGCTGCGATATCGTCAGGAAAAGGGTGAACGGTGATCTGAGAATTATGAGTAAAAACTTTAGTTAGGAGTTTTTGGTCAAATAGAAAACACAACAAACAGATAGGACACTAGCGTCTATTTGCCCCATATGTATTGCCACCCATAAAAATAAAGATTTAAGAATCCCACAGATATTATTACGACGGACGTTAGACCGGATGGACCTTTAAGAATATCATACGCTCTTTTAAAATGTTGGCTGTAGTGTTATGAGGGACTTAAATATCTACTGTTATGAATTACAAAAATATGAGTGAAACATTTTGTTCCGTAACGAATACGTCACCGTGTCCTATGACATAGTAAATAGAATACTAAAGTACACAAAGATCGAATCAAGAAAGTAGATTCGAACTCAATATCGTGACTGCCTAGAGCACTAAAGATTGAAAGCGGTCTATTTGTGAAAAATATGGGTTCAGAATAATCATAATGGTATCAACAACTGTTTGACTGGATACTGTCGTGTATATGTATAATATTCATTTAATTACACATTTATGCGGTATAAGCTATAAAGTTATTTAGGTTCAATTATATTAACCTTCAATTCTGTTAAACGAGCTGGATCTGGACATCCATAGTTGCTCACCTCAGACTTTGAGAGCGATTTTCGTTTTATGTTTGTTTAAATTATATTATTGTTATGCTTAATTAATTTTATTACTTCTTGTATGCTATGTTTGCCTGTAAGTGCTTGACACATTAAAAACTGTATTTTATTTTTCTTCTGTCAATGCATCAGTGTGCCAAGCGTTGGCAAGCTTGTATAAATAGATAAATATTAATTACGGTTCTACATATTAGTCATAGGATGTTTTGTATTAAGTAATAGTTTAAGTATTTAATTTAAGATTAATTGGCTAAGTGAAGAACTAAGTCATTTTTGTAATACATATATAACAGGGGGGCAAACGGGCAGGAGGCTTACTTGATGTTTAAGTTAAGTCATACAGTCGCCCATGGACACTAAAATTGCCAGAAGGCTCGCAGGCTGGCTCTTTCCTTGAAGAAAGTCAATTGAATTACAATTTATAAGCAATGAGGCCGATGTCACACTCAGCCTAGACTTTTATGTACATTATATATAAATAAATAGATTAGTTATTAAAACGCATTATACACTACTGTTTATTAAATTTACTAAGGATCCAGTAATATAGTGAAATCTCCATAATAGATTATTGAATAGCGATAATGATTTTTACCTTATCTCTGAGTATCATTAATTTTCATAATGAACGTTTATTGTAATCGAGAACCAATTAAAAATGTAAAAATAAAAATCTATTAGGCATTAAAATATTCTATAATAAAATAAAAGTACATTTATTTCATGCGCAAATTCAAGTCACAATATGTATACATGAATAACAATATGTAATTACTTTCTATGAGTCCATAAAAAGCTATATCATACTGTAATGTACAGCACTGAGCAGTTAGAGGCTTGTTGCGCAAGGCACTCCTTAGTACTGAGACGTTTTCACGATTTCGTCGAATCAAATCAAATTTATTCAATCACATTAGGATGTATGTATGGATGCCAATATTTAAAAAACGAAGACCAACGCAGAGTGTATTATACAAACCTTTATGATTTTCTTAATATCCAAGTATTCCAAACTATCAATATGTTTTTTTTTATAGAACAGGGGGCACTCTCAATGGCTCGCAAATGCGTTGCCGGCTTTTTACGAATTGGTAGGCTCTTTTCTTGAGAACCCTAAGTCGAATTGGCTCGGAAATACTTCAGTGGGCAGCTGGTTTCACATAATGGTGGTGCGCGGCATAAACTGCCTTCAAAAACGCTCCGTTGTGGATCGACGGACGTCGAGGTGATACGGGTGGAATTTCGTATTCGACGTCCGATGATGAAACTCAGCTGCAGGTATTATCCGAACAACTCTGACTCTCACACTCCACAACAACAACTCATCATGTTTCGCTAGCTCGTTCTATATAATTAATTAACAAACAATCACAAATCCCTTCATACAATATGTAAACCACAGAGTCACTTGACGTTCGCGTAATGAGTTTTACCAAGACGAAACTTTGCTTAAGTACGTAATAACAAGTTGATGCTTGCTTAATTCTGTTTGCTTCAATATACTCTAACATATAACATGGTTTGAATATATTCGGGCTTGTGTGTGAGTCATCAATTTAAATAGGAATAGTAAATTGACGTTTTTCTTGTTATAACTATATAAATAAGTATAAAGCAATGTATGTAGAAATTGTGAGAGCAGTGTTGGCCTAGTGGCTTCAGTGTGCGACTCTCA